GCTGAAGTGCTTTGCGTAGCGATAGGCACTTCTGCTCCGACAAGGACTTTGCGTTGCGTTTCGTGTCCCACATTATGCCGAGAAACTCGAGGCACTGAGTCGGAGCTAACACAGATTTGCTGTGATTGATTGACCAGCCTAGTATTTGCAATGTTTTTACTGTGTATGCTATGTCGTTTTGCAATTGACTCTTGGATTGATTGGCTAAAAGAAAATCGTCCAGATAAACTATACACCTGATACCATGATTTCTTAGGTATTCCGCTAACCAGTTGGAAATCGTTGCGAATGTTCTGGGTGCCGATGAAAGACCGAATGGCAAGCATGTCATCTGCAGCAACTGATGTTGATCAGGATTGTGGTGATAATTGAGTCTCAGGAATTTGCGATGCTTTGGGCAAATAGGGACATGAAAATAGGCTTGGTGCAGGTCTAACTTTGCCATCCAGTCCTGATCCTGCAGAAATTCTGGAACACGAAAATGACTGAACAGTTTGAAAGGTTTTGTTTGTACGAAACGGTTCAGATGCTTGAGGTTGAAGATAGGTCGAAACGCTCCCTCTGATTTTGCCACCAAAAAGAACGTTGATAGGTAGCTGGGACTCTCTTCCGCTTCTTCCAAAATTTCTGCCTCCAGCATTGCCTGAACCTGTGCAGTCATTTGACAAGACGATTTGGTTCTGTAGGATTGCATGATTATTCTGTTTGGAGATATTAGCGGCGGTTTCATTACGAAAGGTATGCGAACACCGTTTAATAATCGACAAATTTCCTTTGGTGCACCTAAATTGCTCCAAGCATTTTGAAATTGTTTTAGACAACCGCCGCGAAAGCGCGTCGAGTCATTCATGACGCTTACCTTTAAATGAGGAACGGCCATGTCGTTTTTTAAGCTGTTGCTGTCCAGTTTTATTTGTAGGTTTGCCTGTCTGTTGATTGGCGGGGCGAGGTGCACGCTTACCCCTTTTTGATGAATAGTCTCGACGAAAAAATGCATCATCAGTTTGTTTGGTAGTGGATGGTCTTTGATTGTCATAGAAGTTTTCGTTAGATTTAGCTTTATGAATTGGTTTCGACACAAACGATAGTTTTTCCGCCCCAATTTTTTGAAAGTAGTTTTGCAAGGATTCTTCGTTAAAGAGTGAAACTGAACTTGGGGGAATTTTATACAATACGTCGCGATGATATGACTCAGGAATTTGTCGTAATAAGGAATCTCTGCGACTGGTAATAAGATCTGTTCGCCTTCCACAAATTATTTGTAACAGATCATCTGTTACTTTACTATATGCGGATTCTTTAGAAAATGTTGTTTGTATTTTGTCAAATAAGGAACTGGGTGTTAATGTTTCTTTGGAATCATATGCCCAGTCTACAACCATCTGTAATGACTTATGCAATAACTCTTTTTGAGAAAGTAAGGCATTAGTCAAGCTAGCGAATGAACGCTCTAATAAATATGAACGTGAATCTTCTTTTAACATTGCGCTTTCGTAACGTTTTAATTCATCATTAACACTAAGTTCAATAAAACCGGGGGTGGACAAATATTTCTTTTGAGCATCAGCAAAACGAACCGCATACCAATCGGCATAATTAAATCGTTGTAATTCGACTAATTTATTCACAAAACTTTCATTTGATTTAGTATAAATAGGATCTTTAACCGTGGTACCCACATCTGACAAGATGTTCAGTGTGTTACTATTATCAAGTTCCGGGCGATGTAACCGAAACTCGTTTGTAGTCACATTTGTATCCTCGATATTCAATTGACAATCCTTATTTTCTAAACTGGCCGTTATGAGGTTCGTTAAAAGCGATACTTGTTGAGATAAAATTTCAAATTGTGCATTACTCACAGTTGCGGAATATTTCCTTGCCTTATTTCTAGGGCTTGAATCCATATTCGCCGAGTCGCTATCGTCGCTGCTGGAACTTGATGATAGAGAACGCGTTCGTTTACGGTGATTCAAACTTTCAGCTACACTATCCGACACAGTTTTTTACATTCCCTATTTTGATTCTCCATCACGACGGAGAGAAACCGCTGTATTTTGATATATTTTATAACTTTTTTCGCGAATAATTTTACGTAATCTAAGCTGACTTGCACGGCGCGAAAAACGACGCTATAATGGCGGGCTGTCACTTGGTGCTCGCATATATAAGTTAGTTGACAAGAAGAGGGGGCGCCACTATCGGAGGGGAACCGGAAATGCTGACTTAGATGGTAGAAAGACAGGTGCTTGACTCAAGATGGATTCCGGATATTGATACAAAACAAATAATAACTCGTATTTATTATAATCGAGTAAAAGTTAGTCACTCGTGTAAAGTAATATCTAAGCAAATACTTTTAACTAATTTATGCACGAGAATTTGAAGATGTAATGTCAGTATTTGAATGACGGAATGTCAATAACTAATATAATAGTATTGTAACTTTTAGTGTTCTTACTTCACGTTACTCTTGATGAATTGCACCTTCACAATACTATTTTGTAACAACTTTCTCTGCCCGTGACCGATCTATTTTCCCCTCAACTTAACGAGGCTTTGTTAGTAATGACCACAGAGTATTTAGATTTGACCTTTCTTTGTTGGCGATTTACCATATATTATAATATAATAGGATGTGATGATGTGTGCAGAGACATGATTATCGACATTTTAGATAATGTCCTTCAAGTTATAACATATTGTCTATTTCTCTTTCTAAGTTGCTCACTTTTGTCTGCTTTGGCGTAGAGTTTATGTCAACCCTCCTCCTAAAACCTCATCTCCAAATCTGTAAAATAACTTATATCTATCCTTCCTTTCTTGGCTGATCTTAGAAGCCGCTGCTTAAGAGCAATTATCTTTCTTTATACACTCCAAATCTCTTCTCTCTCCTTTCCAATTTCGTGTTGTTCACAGCACAACAACTGCTCTCTAGAAAGTTACCGAGGACGTCAGAACTGGCATGGTCAGAAGCAACTGGTCACCATCATTGTTCTCATTGACTTTTCCAATATGGTTGACCGTGAACTACTGCTGGCCTTACTGAAGTCGTTGAATTTGGAATAGTTCTCAGCTTATCTTAGTGGGCATCAGCAGGCAGGACGTAAGGATCATGAATTATCTTCGTGGAACGATCTGACAGCTGGTGTCCCATGAGGGGATTCTTTGTCCTCTGTTTTCCATATTATTTAATCATCTCTCTTTCACGCCCAGCTGTTCTTATCGTTTCTTTGCAGACGATTTACAAATATATGTGCAAACAACCACCGATGAAATTATTTCACATATAACCAAATTGAATAAAGATCTCTGTTATGACAGTGCATGGTCAAATAATTTTGGGATTTCTGTGAACCCCACAAAATATCAAGCAATTATGGTAGGAAGCTCCAAACAGCTTATTAAACTTGATGCCGCCATGTTGTATATGAAAACTCTGTGAATACTCTTCAGTTCTACTATTAAAAACTTTGGACTCCATATTGATTCGGAACACAGATGGACATCACAGATTGCCGAGGTCAGACGTGTGGTAACTTATTCTTTGCGCTCGCTTTAATTGTTTTAGACAATTCCTACCAAAACTAAGGTAACTTTCGTCCGGCACTTCCCTTATTCTTCCAATCATTGACTATACTGATGTCAATTACCCTCATTTAAATAAAGATCTTCTTAATAAGTTGGACCGCCTTGTTAACAATGCAATTCGTTTTACTGTCTGCGTAGACAGCTATAACTGCTCGGTGTGCTCTTTTCCGTTGTTTTTAACCGTGATTCTCCTCCCCGACACTTTTCATGTGTGTTTATGTGTATGTATACTTATAATTGTTTATACATTCATTTTTAGTATAGTTTAAGTAGTATATTTATTAGTTAACTTTATGCCGCTATCATGTTTTTCCATTTCACAAAAGTTGACTGGTAGAGAATGCTATTAGCATTAAGTCCGCCTCTTGTACCAATTCAATCTTTCAAAATTCATGGCTTCGAGTCCCACTGCAGAGCGCCAGGGAGGAAGTGGATTTTTTAAGCATTTTTCATTAAGAATACTGTATACTACTCGTATTTTATTTACTTATGAGTTATGAGTAATTCAATATATCAAAAAAACTAAACGACAGTATTTTTATCCTATAACCCGTATAAATTAACGTGAGGGCCTATTCTATTTCTCCTCGAGCGCAAATTCGGCAAATTTCCAATCGTTCTTAGGGTATTGTAACAATCATATCCGTGAAGATTATCTATGCATCAGAAGCAATATCACGTGACCAAACACAGATCCTACCTCCGTTGCATAATAAATTATCGAGAAATGCGTTTCTTTGATTTATTTTTATTATATTATTATTTTTACTAACGGTAGAATTAATCTAATTGCTATTAACACCATATGGATCCAGAAACCTGAAATAAATTAAATTATTATTTGAAATTCCCTTCTTGTACAAATAGAGCCTTCAGGTTTCCTGTTAATTTATACGAGTAGTACGTACAAATTTTTTGATACATACTTCTGTTGAACTGACTCTACATAATAATGTGTTTTCTTTTACCAATTCACATAATTTATTTTTTGTACAGGTTTTCACGAATTTGTCATAGTTTAGAGGCGTCCGGAAAGTAAATTATCTGTATATTGTCTATGTTCAAATTCTTCCACGCTACTATCACGGCTGGCAACGGTTATAAGGTGTTGTGTCGTGTTGTATTACAACACAAGCATATCAGATTCACATATTTGCTATGGTCGACAGATAAATTTGTTTTCCGTGGTGTGTTGATTCCGAAAATTAACCTTTTTATTCTAATCTATGAAACAACAAGACAACAACAGCACGACATATATGTTTCCGACTATACACAAGTTCATGCTAGAAATCCGGAGTTTATGAAGGCATTTGACCTAGTTTACAAACTACATTTTGAAACTTATTGCTAAAAGTAAGGGGTTGATTTCTTAGTAGTATATTAATGGTATTGTCTATTGTTTTCAGGATCAACTGATGCGGATATGCCTTCGTCGCTGCTTCACTCCATCCAGAACCAGATGCAAAGTAAAGGTGGCTACGAGATGGCATATGGTGTTAAGGTGAACACAGCTTTTCATGATTTCGAAAGCTTAATTATGAATTATAACTGCATAAATAAATACAGCCAACTGAAAGGAATGTTTCATGATTTACGATTATTGTTTTATGAAAATAAAATTGACATAATAATATTCCTAAAGATTCTGATCAGTGCAATTCACATTCACAAGTGTTTAATATCACAGTGAGTTCGAGTTCATTGTTAAATAATGATTTGAATTTAATAAAAATCATAATATAATAAGTTGTATTTAAAAGAAAATGTTACTCATTTTAGAATATTTAATTTTTTGCCCAAACATTCGTGGAAATGCGCTCATAGGTAGCGAAAAATACTCGCGCGAGAAAAGGAACGAAACAGCTTGAAAAATTAATAGTGTTTAAGCTCTCGGACACCTTAGTGTCGGGTGCCTGCCGAATATTTGAAGTACTTTTCTATAAAATAAATATTATTGCGAAGGCAAAATTGTCAAATATAATAACAAAATCTTTTAGATGAACAAGATGGCATTGCTAAAGATTATGGAGCCCGATCCCATCTCGAGCGCTCTTTCGAGCGATTTTTCAAGCATTTTCCTTAGAGTTAGAGCTGTCCTCAGTCCATTACGTACACATTAATACATTTCTTTAAAGATAAATATCAATATGAAATTATATATAGGTTTCCGGCAGCGACTTCGCCTGCGTGGAACTGTATTATACACCTTCCTTTTAGATCACTCTGTATATTGACGAAAATCGCATTAAATCCGTTATGTAGCTTTCAAAGATCTCAGCGTACAGACAACGAAAACCGACTTTGTTTTATACTATGTATATGCAAAATCGTCAAAGATAATACAATTTATTTTTTTTCTATTTCAGGTTTATTGATCCGAAAGAGGTGCATGTAGAGACGCTTGTGACAAAACAGAGTGAAATTTATTAATGTATTTATTGTCAAAGCTTTAGTTATATCGCTAGTTTAAGAATATTGAGTGTATATACATTTATAGCAATTCAAATATATTTAGATACGAGTTACCTACAACAGATTATATTGTTTGCTAATAAAAACGAACATTAGGTACCTTCAAATGATACAATAAAATGGCGAAACATAAACATGATGTAGATTGTTATCTCTTTTAATAAAGTTCTGTTTACAGTTGTAATTTTTTAATATTATGTTTTACTTATCATTAAATCTGCCATTTTGAAAAATCCTATAGGTTAAGTAAAATATTGACGATTCTTCAACTTCCATAAGACTTTAAACATGTTTCCTATTAAATTCTAGATTTATCGTAAAAGTTTTGTTCTGGACAATACTAGTACCTAAAGATTTCTTAATAATGGCGTTTCAATTAACTGATTATAAGTATAATGGCGTCTTAGTAAATCAATGGTGACTAAAAACTTGTTACGTTTTGATTTAGTAAAAGGAATTATGTCAGAAAGTTATGTTATTAAGATGCCATTTACACGCCATAATTAAGCAGCAGTTATATTTAGTTCACCCCACGCGGATCGGTTTTATATAAGCTCCGTCCCGCTTATCGAGCAAATGTATAAAAATCAATACTTACCCGTAGCATCACAGGACACCGGCTAGGTATAACTGCTGTTTACTATATACGTTAAACCAGGAGATACAACACTCGACATCGATAAGATTACGTTTAGTCAGATAAGCAGAAAAATAATAATTCTTTTGTTACAGATTAAAACAAGATGACTTCATTGTGCATACAAAATCAGTCGTAATTAAAAATAAGTCCTTTATATAAAATAGATTTACAAATACACTTAAAATTTAATTAACCATGGCAGTCAAAAAAATATTTATAGAATAACAAAGAATATTTATCCATGAGTATAGATCGATTATTTTTTTTTTCAGCAGCCTAAACCATGGAATTGAATTTTCTATTATACTAGATAGAGGATAAAAATGTTACGTGTGTATATAACAAAGATGTAATTTTCGAAAATCGAGTGTTGTATTTGTATTAATCTGTCCCAATAACGGAATCCGTCGATAATGCCTTCATCTTAAATGTATATCTTAGCTCTTGTAAATTCACACCTGAACATTAGTTACTCCTTTGTTTGGGTGTCTAGAATTAAGATAATAATTATGATCTTAGTCAATTTAAAATAAAAGTAATTAACAAGTAACAGTTTTGTATTAAATTTACTATTCATATAATATTTCTTAAAACTATTTATCTGGTATAACATTTATTTTTCAGTTGTAACTTATTCTCATAGTCACTTTTGGTACATAATTATCTTTAGATTTCACTTCTTAGTTTCTTCTAATGAATAATTTTGGTTTATAGATATACCTACATAAAATATATTTAATCTACACTTATTACAAAATAATTAATTTGCTGTTTGTCACTATTAGTTTATCTTCTCAAAACTTTTAAATTATTTACTAACTCACCTAAAGAAACAGAATCTAATCTCTAAAAAAATCAGGTTTGCTTACGACTAGTTAGTTATTATTTAAATTGGAAATTTGGTCGTAATAGGTATATAATTCATAACCTAAGTCATCATTTTTAAGTACGTAATTGAAAAATATAATAGCAAAGAATACAAAGCGACCAGATTATTAATTCTGTATTAACGTGAAGCTATTAAAATATTTCGACATGAATTTTCATGCGTTTCTTTGGTCTAATAATTTGAATACCCATCTCTGATATCAATAATACTATTTTACTCTTTAAATATAATGTATTTTAATGTATTAACATTCTAATGTAAAATGTAACCATCAAAGTTTAAAATAACGTATTATCTATACAATTCAATGCTGACATAAGATGTAAGATTGGAAAGGTATGCTGTTCTATGCAATAAAGATTAAATAAATAAATAATCTTATATCATAATAATTATGTCCACTTGGTTTTTCTGTTTCTGACGATATGAAGCTATGTTTTTCTTTAAAAAACAGTCTTGAACTAGACGTCGCCTTAGGTAGCGATGTCATGTCATCGATTTTCAATTAAATAAAACCTTTATTACCTTTTGGAGTAGGTTCTATTTGATTGAACTCTATGTCACCGACGAGTACGAGCTGTTTATAACAGAATAGGACTGCTGTTAATGCATATGTCTAACGCATTGAAATTACGAAATACAATCGCATTCCTATCGATATATATAAAACAAACCCCAAAAGGGTATGGTCCAAATCAAACTCAAACAACATTTTTTCTGTATGTTTCTTTAGGAGAGTTTGTTTAGGTCCTGATTGCTGAATGATAATATAAACAAATCGAAGTTCTATGCCAGCACATTATTGGACATATATTGCAGTAACTACTAAGGAATCGCAATTCAGAACTGAGATCATTAGAAAATTGTTATTATATATTTATACATATATGTTGTATATTTTAGTCTATGCTCAAATAAAAAAGAAACTATTTTTAGTGATATTTACGATTCAGAAATTTAGGTAGAGTCGACATCACGTCAGGTAGAACAATACTGCAAAATTTCTCCACTCGATTTTAAATCTTAAGACTGAACGGTGAGACAATAGATTATCTATATATCTCATTGCGCCTGGCAATGATATATATAGAAACAGAAGATGAAAATTTCGCGTCAATAACTATTGGCTCGTAAACTATAAAGATAATTGCGTATATCCCTCGACCACTAAAGCGATTAAATAGGGAATTTTCGGGAAAACATTACTATCCTTTTTATTTACATGTTCCTTTTTTTGTTAGTGAGCGTCAAGATCAATTGAAAAATTATCATTTATGTTAAACGCGACCTCCTAATGTGTCGAGGGTAGAGTTCAAAATCGTCCGTGGAAATTTAACATATTGTGGTACCTTGACGCGCCGCTGTGTGTACATTAACTTACTATACTGAGTCAAGAATTTTCTCATATTTTTTTTTTAGAATTAAGGACTTTTTTATCTTTATCTTTATTACTTAAAATTTGGAGTTAGATGTTATGTGTATGGAAGTGTACGAGTATATTATTTATTAAACCGATAAGTCTTCTTGCCCAAACGCTTTTGGGCATTGATTGACTGAAGAAACAATGAGATTTTCACTATAGTATGGTCGCTGAACAGGGAGTATTCCGTACAATGATCCGGCACTACGTATCTCTTTCACTCGTGTGCAAAAACATTGCTATTGCACTCGCACAGATGCATCTAGCCAACTACGTCACAGTAAAGTGAACCTAAAATGTTTACCATATCTGTAGGCAGAAATGTCAACGTACGAAATTATTTCTATTCGGCGACCGTTCTATACACAATAGACTGAGTTCGAAATATTTGTAATACTTCCAAGAATTGTTGTTCCATTGTTACTTTTGAATAAGAAAACATGACCTTAACAAGCATGTACTATAAACATGAAGAAAATATAATTTTGTCTTTTTCTAGTAAAACGACAAAGTTGTTTGTAATATTATATATAGACGGTGTGTTTATGTATTGTAAAAATGTCCTGCATATGAAAAACAAAGAAATTATCGAAGTATATTTTAGTTTTATTTACTATCTATCAATACGGTAGATTATGAGATAGCAGACAGGTATAAATAATAAAAAAACTGCCGGATATTATCAAAAAAATAAATAAATTGAGGTCGATTGGAATTTAAAACTGTGCGAGACATAATCTTCTTAGTTTCGTCATAAATGTGTAGTGAATTTATTCTATCCTTGTATTGATGTTGTATGAAACACTGAAATTATTTTACAATCTTTTCCACAACAACATCGGCGATATATGTAAGAATAAGGAGCTGCTACGCTCTCATTCATCTTAACGTATCCATTTATGGCACCTTGGAAAATGTCACCCTAAACTGGATTCCTTCAATCAGACCATAATCACATAAAAACTGTAAAAAACTATTTTACATGCGGTTTTCTAAAGAGAGAAAATGAAAGAGGAAAGTTTTGAGTGTTTGTTTCCTTGTATTGAATAGGTTCCGAAGCTACTGGATCGATTAATATTTTTTTCACCTACGGGAAGCTACATCATACGCGGGTGTCATAGGCTATATTTACGCGGACCAAGTCGCAGGAAAACAGATCTTCAGATGGATGATCAAGACTTTATTTACTAAGTAAACCGGTAATACTAATTGTATTACAGAAGAAAAATTGAAGTTAAATTTAACGTTTTATAATTGTATCTAGAGTAGATTCTAGAGTAGGTTTTGTTTATAAAAATGAACTACAAATTGTATGTTTAAATACAAATTTTGCCCATCTCTAATAACACTGACATGACAGCTTCCTGTTTTGTTTAGCGGCATATGACAACAGAGCGTTTTCGCCGTTCATTAAATTCCTCAGAGAAATATTTAAAGAAATAAATATTCTGACTGTTGCCTCTAAATACATCTATGAGAATATTATGTACACAAGAAAACATTACGATTCCTTCACAAAAAAGTAGTGTTCATAATCTTAACACAAGAAATAAAAATAAACTTGCCGTTCCAAGCTTCAGACTTTAAAAAACCAGAGGATCATTTCTGGGTAAATGTATTGCTATGTTCAATAAAGTTCCACAAAATGTAATTGACCTACCCATAAATAAATTTCAAATTCATGTAAAGAATATACTTATGAGTAAAGGCTATTATAAAGTTGATAATTATTTTAAGGATCGCAATGCATGGAATTGATAGCCTTCGCTTTGTTCTATAAAGACTAATTATATGTTCAACCTATGTCCTACAGACTTTGAAAGTTGTATTTATTATTGTGATAATACATATTATTTTGGTAATGACATGATTTATGTAAATGTCATTACTTATGATAAAAAGTTGGCAAGTTTCTTTCGCTTGTTCTTCTTGTCAGCTAAAAGACGTCCTGAACAAGTGGTAGGGGAAAAAATTTTTTTGGACTATTCAAAAGTGCTTGTAATAGCCTTACTTGAATAAAGATATTTTCACTTCCTTTCATTTCATTTCCTAAGCATGTTGCATTTTCACATACGATATTTAACAAAAGCTTAACATATTTTGTTTCAAGATTCTAAGAAATAAACTTTATTAGATTATTACCTAACAGGATAACCACAACAAGCAACTTATTTTTAATAGTGTCAAATACCCAATTAAAATATTTTTTAAAACACTAATGATTTTGCCGGCCCCTGAAAACTGCTAAACAACTGATCAAAAATGAAGTGATAGATAGATTCATGGTGATATTATTAATAACAAAACAAATTCAGTCGCTAAGATTATTATATTAAATCTTATTAAAAAATGAATTTAGTATTTTCTCTTTACTAAATTGCTTTTTCTTTATTATGTACTATTCTTTCAGATAACTTCCAAAGTTTTAATGCTAAATCATCATCCAAAGCTGTCTTCGACGGCGAAATTTCTCGGCAATCAACGAAATATTTACCAGTAACGTTATTCAGTTCTGGTGCAACCGCCAAGTATATCGACGTTTGAGCACCTTCGTAAGGAGTTTTCATCACCAACCTTATTAAAAATCTAATAATGCTAGGCTGGTGCCTAAATATATCTGTACCGACTGCTCCTGGATGTAAACAGTTCACAGTCACGCCTGAATCTTTCAATTGTTCGCTCAGATGTCTAGTGAACAATATATTCGCCAATTTCGTATTTGAATATACCCTCCTATGCTGGAGAGAACTCTTCGCTTGTTTATGGAAGTTTTCCAGATCTATCTTACCGAGGTAATGCATTACAGATGATACATTGACTATTCGACCACGCGCCGCTGTTATTGGAGGCAACAGTAAGATTGTAAGCAGAAATGGACCAAAATGATTCACCTGAGCTTCCACTGGCAAATTGTCTTCAGTTAAAGAATTATCTAGTTTGCCCGTACCAGCGTTATTTACTAATACGTGTATCACGGGATATGTTTTCAAAATCTCTTCGGCGAAATCTCGGACAGATTTGAACGAGGCTAAATCTAGTCGTTTGAATACAACATTTTTGTTTCCCGTTGCTTCCACAATCGCGTTCTTAGCTCTAATGCCTTTATCTGTATCACGGCACGCAAGAATAACGCGAGCGTTTCGCTTGGCGAGATCTTTAGCTGTTTCGAAGCCGATACCAGTGTTGGCCCCAGTCACTATTACGACCTTATTGCACATCTTAACGTCACCTTTGTACATACCACATGTCCACTTTTGATAACTTTTATATAATATAAACGCCACTGCAGGAGTAACTATACAATAAAGATACATTTCGACTTGTAGATGTAAACTGACTAGAATAGTTACGTGTTAAGTACAAAACCAGTGATAAGATAACGAACGTAATTATAGTAAACTGTTTTGTTATTGTTAAGTTATGACGTTACAACACTAAAATAAATGAGGTTATTAGTTAACGCTTTTGAGGTTATATATGTAAAACCTTTGTAAATTTATTCAATGATAGGCACGATACGATTATCTTTATTTATTTTGGAACGAAAGAAATAAATTATGTTTAACACGTTTAAGTTAGTTAAAGACTAAAATAAAATCCATTGATTTTTTACTATCTTTTTAATACGAAGCGTGGTGTTGCCAACAAATAAAATTTAACGGCGCAAAAAGTAAAATGTGGTGTTTAAATTATCGGGTAATTATCTATTTTTTAAATCTATCGCAATCCCTTGCAAAGGTATAGCGAATGATTTATGGAATTTACTAAGAAACATAATTATTAAATAAACTTAAACCGGTCAAAATATTGCACGTATCTAACATTTAATTTGACATTTCTCAATTTTTCAGGTTTTTAATGATAACTAGTTTGTCTTAGACAATTTCAATCAACTTTAAATTATCGATATCGTTATTTATTTATTTTTAAATGATGCGATTGGAATCGCTATCACATGTTAAATAAGCGTGAAGATCACGAATATAGTCAAATGTCAGTATGAAAGGGTTTACGAGGCGAGACACTTTCACACAAATACAATATATGTAAGTATATAATACAAAAACAACACAATAAAAAATTGGTTATTACGCGAAAATGGTGTTATATATATCTCTTTCTTGCATAACTCGCAGACTTTTTATGTTCTGTGGTACCTAAGGCTGTAACTATAGCTGTCGGCGTGTCTATAGAACGCTTCTATAGAGCCCATACACATTGGCCTGAGAACGCCGACGGTCAGCATGATACTAAAGCCAGCCTAACTGTTACGATTCACGGCTACTAAATGGTGTTTTGATGTAAATCATGCCCTGCCTTCTAACGACAATAAGCAATTGAGAGAAATGTCACTACCAGTTGTTGTTATCCTCTACACTTGCATAAATAACAAATAATGACGTTGTGGCCTTCCGTCTAGAGATCTTAATAAAATTATAAATTAATAACAATAGGTATCACATCGTATTATGGGAATAAATGGATTTTTTGATGTCCACTCGATAAGTAACCAATGCCTTAGCTCTATTGGTGAATAACTATTAACAAGCTTATATTAATAAATAAGATAAAGGAGGGTTAAAGAAAAACTAACTCTTGATTTTTTAAATAGTATAATGTTACCTTCATAAAAATTTACAAAACTTTGTAAACAAACTTCACGATTTAAAAATAACAAATATCACACCGTTCAGGAATTTTTATAGGATATTTTCACTCAACGAATTTATTATTTAACATGTCACATATTAGTTCAGTTTTCTTGTTCATCAAAGAAACTATTTTGTTATAATTTTTATTATTCGTCGACACATATCGATCATCTTTTTCTATGCCTATGTTCAGAGCGAGCTGCGCTTGGTTTCGACGACTTTTCTTTATATCTCGAATCGTCTGCAAACAAGTAACAATATATAAAACAAGTTATTAAAATGTCCACAATAAAGAGAGTAGAAAGAAGACCTTCTTAGGGTTCCGTGATAAACAAGGAACCTTTATAGTTTCGCCATGTCCGTCTGTCCGTCCATCCGTCCGCGGTTTAATTCAGGAATTATTTGAATAAGGCTGGCCGCATAAACACGTTTTCCGTATTCGATTTCCAAATGCGGAATTTCGATTTGTGAGTCCGTGAGACTAGCGCAAACGTTCGTTTTTCTTTATACGAAATGTATATACGTCAGTACAGATAGTGATAGCGTGATGAACGCACGATGATGGAGGACGACGATTTATTAGCAATTGCATTTCTGTTAACAATAAAGAAGAAAAAGAAACGTCGGTATTGGGTACATCCATTAAATACTCGGAGACACATTAAAACAAACAATAAATACAAATAATACGTCCGATGCGCGTGGCGAGGGCGCGATACTGAATACAAATTTCCGAACGTGTGCGCCGACACAAACAAAATGTATGCAAGCACTGCGTTCCGCATGACGTCATTAGGTTTTTTTCAATACGTTTCTCCGAACGCGCCGGCTTGCATTCGAAACGTACGTACGGAATTTGTTCCGTATGGAAAATAAGCGAACATGTGCGTCAGTTAATGTATTTTCTACTGAATCCATGCATTCGGATGTCCGAATACGGAAAACGAATTCGGAAATCGAAGACGGAAAACGTGTGTATGCGGCCAGCCTAAAAGCATTTTATGTCTTTCAAAAACATTGGGGGTGTGTGTCACATTTACCTATTTTTCCGTTTATTCTGTCATTCGCACGTATTCTGTCCTTGTTTACACACTAAACTTATTATAAATGTTATATGCAAAGTTTTTGGCGCGTCTGTTGTATGTGATTGCTTATCTAGTTATTAAAGTCATTGTTTTTGTACCTCGGTCGCGGTCCTTGTGCCGGTGACGTCGCTCTCGGTCGCGAGAGCCACGCGACTCCGGCGAGGAGCGGCGCCGCGGTGATCTGCGCGCGTCCCCGCACCACCACCACGCGGGCGGTGCGGACGCGCGTGACCGCAACGGAGAACCGCTCGCGTAACCACCCGCCATCGGTGGAATCTATAAACAACAGGGTTCGCTGATAAATATCAACGAATGTATACTCAGCGGCAGAAAAAGTGTCCCAAAGTAAAGATATGGTCAAAGTTTTTTTTAAATGCCTATTTTTTTGGCTGTAACTATTAGTTTAACAGTTTATAACACAACTTTCCAGAAAATTAACTCTAAAAATTCTTAAATTTTTATCAGAAATAGGTAAAATTAAAAAATACATCTTTTTACGAAACTGTTTATTGAAATTTTTCCCAAAAATAACAGAATTCAGTACAGAAGAAAGAAGAGAGTTTATACCACGAGGGGGTCCCTCTAGCATTGATGACGGCCTGCATGCGTTCTGGCATGCTTTCGAGGTTGATTTTAATTTCCACTTGAGGGTTTTCCTCCCACACTGACTGACGAGAGCGGTCCTTAGCTCACCAAGTGATTCTGGTGGCTTGACCAGTGCACATACACGTCTTTTTAGCATGTCCCAGACGTTTTCTATGGGGTTCATGTCTGGGCTGTGAGCAGGCCAAGCCAGTTTTTGAATCCCGTGTCTAAAAACATTCTCACAATATTACTAGACTTTTGTTCTTTGAACATGACTCCATGCCCATGGTCGTGGTATTCAAAAGTTTAAAATTGTCACACTAGCTAAACTGGAATTTCTTTTGTCATTGGTAATATTAGACACTCTTTAATGGGTATACCTACTTCAATCTTTCATCATGTTGTGACTTTTTACGGACGTTGCCAATGTTTTGCCTAGAGCGCCAAGTATCAATGAGCTGGCGCTGAGTTTTGTAACATACCGATGGCGGTGGGTAGTGATTGGGCAAGCGGTATGGTGCAGGCGGCTGAGACCCCTCTCCCTCAGCACATGTAAGAGGCACGGCGGCGGGCAGCTGCCTCGTTGGACTCTCAGGAGCCATGAACTATACAGTCATTCAGAATAAAACGAATTTTCCAACATATAATTATAAAACGATGTGTAACTTAAGGTCCAGGTTTAAATTATTATGCGATAAAATGAAATCGACACGTCTCAATTTGTCGTTTTAATTTCAGCCAATTTATTTAGGCGGGCAATAGTTTAATTTGTTAACATATACATTTACTAACGTACTTTAGTCCTCGTTTTATAATAAGACGTGTCTGTTTACTGAAATCAGTGACCGATGAATGTTTTAGAATAATAATATTTATATTTACCAGAAATACCTATATCAATATCTGATCCAACTTTAGCAAAGAACCGAAATCAGAATAAATTATTGACGTTTTTAGGGTTCCGTACCTAAAAATAAAACAAGAACCCTATTACTAAGACTCTGTCTGTCCGTCACTAGGCTGTACGTATCTCATGAACCGTCAAAGTTGGACAGTAAAAAATTTCCCACATGATGTATTTCTATTGCCAACAACAAATATTCAATATCAGAATAAAATAAATATTAAAAGAGCCTCCCATACGACAAAAGTGATTTTATTGTTTATATTTACGCACAAAGGGTTCCGATCCCCGTTGTAAAATAGTAGTCGGACTCAACTCGCACTAGACAGATTTTTTAATTATATTCTCTGATACAGCCTTTTAGCTAAAAACATCGAAAGAAGCGAACCATCGAAATTACTTTGTGTAAAGGAATTTCCGAAGTCGATGCTAATGTACCCAATGATGTCGTCGTGTTCTGATAACAGTAACAATTAACACAAGATCTCACCTGTTGTTTGGTTATGTTGACCTGTTGCTTCAGGTTGTTGAAGTCGCTACTCATTTCACGATAACGCTGCAGACATTCCTGCCACATACTCGCCATCTCGGCCATCTCTGAGCGCTGCTTAGTGATCTCCTCCTGTTTTTATTTAGCTACAATATACTTTACTACTTTAATACTTTTATTTAATTACACATCTCCACGGTTTAATCGAATGGTGACTAAAATGATGTTATACTTCAAAAACCTTAATGCTGTTGCTGTGAGAAGTTTTTACCGGACCCGTTGACGATAACTAAGAATGTAATAATTACGAGTTCCTTTGTGCTACGGTAAACACGTTAAGAACGTTGATCCTTGAATCTGCATTGCAGAATATCCATCCCATTTCGTAGTAGATAATCCTCCACAGTAGGTCTCTATGTGATTCTACTCTTAAGGAGGACGTGTGCCTCAATAGTTAAAATATTATTAGACTGAAGAAAGAAAGAAAATAAACTGTTTTTTTATTCACTACTTATATACCTATTTCAAGTTCCTATTGAAACTTCACTGCTATAAGGCTTAGCTTGTATATAATAATAAATTCGGATAGTGGGTTTGTTTGTTCGCTGATAATGGTATAATTTTTGTGTGGGGATTGTGAGCAGAATGATACTAGTAAATACTATTTTCTATCGCGAATAAGGTCTAAGTTTGTTAATATTTCGATACCATGAGTCTTGCATCCGTATCGCCAACGTCACGTGCCACTGTCTCGTAGCGGCGCATACATTCGCGCCAAAGTCGCAGCTGGGCAGCAGCAGACTCTTGAACATTTGCTGCAGAATCCTGAAGATATCGAAATGCTTAGACATCTACATTTCATGTACTTTATACCTGCTTCGAAAACAGAAGAAATCGTAGTAAAATGTTTTTCTATGGTTTGAATATAAAAGAACATTAGGTATAACTCTAACCTATCTAACTAGCAGAATAATTTCACAGTAAAATGCATCAAATCCCGATTTGTTCTGTGCAATTATTAATTTTAGATGAGCATTAGTATTAATTCGGTGCCCGATAAAAATATTCCATCTTTTTAGCCTACATCCGCAACGTTATCACTTCATTGTACAGTCCATATCACATCAGGCTATACAAAACCGTCAGATTTATACAATCGATTTCAAAACTTAATGCATTTTAAATAGAGTTCATAAACAATTGTGGAAATTCGACATTTACCACACGATTACCACAACGTTACTACACACAAGATTCCTAAAAATAGGTATGTCAAGTTTCTTCAGATGAATTTACACAAAACATAAGAACCCAAAAAACATTAAGATTTAAAATTTTCCAGATTTGTATGTTTGTTCACGTTACATTGACTGTACCGAGACAGCACAGGCCAAGACTACTTTTGATAACAGCTAAGGTACTCAATAACATTATCTTAAATTACAATAATCAAATGATTGAAATTATTACTTGAACTGATTTGTTTTGATTTTGCGTGGAAAGTCCTTTAAAACATCTCATTAACTCTTTCCATAACTTCATCATTTTGTCCATAGTTTCCCTTTGCTCAGCAATCTCTTGCTAAAAATGAAAATACTGTGTTTAAGAATATTATAATATAGAAGGTTCATCAAATTATGATTAATACTTACTTTAACGACTCTTAAGTAATTGCTTTTTCCGCTGACCGTGCTTGTTTCACCATCAGCAACACTAAGTCCAGAATCTCGTTCCCGTTCAGAATATCTATCCCTATCCCGGAACTCATCATCTCTTGAAACTATGGAGTTGCGATCGAATCTATCAGCATTTCTTTTTGTTCGTCTATCTTTACCGACAATACAGCGATCTCGAGAATCCAAGGGATCTGCTTTCTCATCATAATACTTATCCCTTTCGTCATAATGTCTCTCTTTTACATTATCACTCCTTGCTGTTCTACGATAGTACTTTTCATCGTCTGGATATGGATCTCTGTGGACATCGAAACTACGACTTGTTTTTTGATCACAATATCTTCGTTTCTCATTTTCAAAATGTCTTTCCGGTGCATAATCTCTATCATAGTTCCTATAATCCCTTGGATCTAAGGCTCGAGATCTATAACAGCTTTCCATATTATTCCTAGGGGGCAAATGATCAGGATATGTATACCTATCGTCAATTGTGTTTCGGATTTTCGAGCCAGTTATATTTATTTTGCTACAGTAACAGTTGGCACCTTTATCGTAATTACATTGGTATTGTCTATCCTGTTTATCTGGGCGTTGGACGAGTGGAATTTTGTCCCGACTGTAGACTTTTCCGCGAAAATCCTCTTGGCTACGTGTTTTGGATACACTTCCCGGCGAGTGATCGTTACTTCGTAATCGTACGGGGTGATGATCGATGTCGTATACGTCACGTTTAGACAATACTTCGCATTGAAGAGACTTGTGACTCAAGGTGCGTGGCTGAAATAAATATTTTTACTTGTAAAATCTTTTTCTTTTTGGATCAACTCGATTATATTTTCGCTTACCACTTGTGCATTTGTATCAGCAGCCGTTTTCTCATTCATTTGTGTACAGAGTTTGGCCAACGTTTCAAATAACATTTTTTGTTCTATAAGCGTATGTGCATCGTCTTTCCTAGGCCTAGTAACAAGAAAAATATCGCTTGTAATATGGCTGAAAGGTGTAGGAAATGAATAGTGGCTATAAGCAATTTTAACTAAAATCCAACCTGTCGCGATTGCGATCCTTCTTGACGTAATCGTCGCGACGGCGATGATGGCGATGTTCTCGCGCTCCTGACAGTTCTCTGTCGCGTTCACCGCTATAGTGACGGTCTTCATGGCGCCGGGAATGCCGCTGTCTGCTCATAATGATATGCTTTAGTTTTCTTATCGAAATATGAAATTCAAGCAGTAAGAATTATAAAAGACCGATAAAATAAAATCAAAGCAAGTAAAAATAAATGATTGAACAATTTTTTTGAGATGTAGCTCTGCGAGTACTTTGATCTTGCTCGAAGGACCAATTTAATTAAACGAAATTATAGTGCAATTTACTTTGACAACTATTTGATGTTCGATTTACAAAGTTGTATAATGCCTGAATTCTATTCAGAACTTATTGGGCAAAATTCCTACAGCGAGATAATTTTTTTATTTTATTTACAGCTAGGAATAAATAATATATATCAGACTTAATAAAGATCAATGAGGAAGAATTAAAAAAAAACAATAGTTCCCGACATCAAACTAGATGACGCTACGGTACATTCTTGATTTCTCCATGACAACCCCCTTCCGGTTTTCTTTCATGTTTAAAAGTATTGCACTTTTTCGTATTTGTATTGATATCTAAGTTTCGAACGTCTCCGATTTCAGTTTTTCAATATGTTAATTAAAAGGAACGGAAATGACTGTCTTTAGTCCATTCGTTTCCTGCAAAAATCTACTTTTGCTAGAGTCGCCACCTAGTAGAGATGCTTTTCTAGTGCTTTCGTTTTTTTTTAAATACTTCCTCATTACTATCAATCGATAACTTATATATCTTAACACCCTAGCGGAGTAAACAGAGATGGATTAATTTACTCACTTTTTATCTCTTTTGATTGTTTCCTCCAGTAAAGTGTAGATGAAATCTTGATCTTTGGGAATAGAGTCTATTATACCATCTGCATCCTGGATATTACAATTTCGTAAATAAAAGTATGAGATATCTAAGGTCTAACTCACCACACGGCGCGGGTCAGAGTACATTGGCAGAGTACTGAGGTTTATGTAGGTACGAATAACACTTGTATCGAACATTGAGTGCATACCTATTGATTGAATCTAATGCCAACCAGATTGAAAATGTATTTACGCGGTAGGAATGCTGGTCGCTGTATAATAAAACCTTTTCAAATATTTATAAATTTGAGCTTTTTGAAGAAAAATTTACCTATACCAAATTTTATCAATTTATTCCATATATTCTAATAATAATATAAACTGTACCTATATGAACGTAGCTAGGGAGAACAAGTGTATGCTCTGGCATGCACACGAGAGATCTTTCTCGATTATGATTGGCGGTCTAAGTGGCCAATATTCCCGTTTCTCTTACATTCTGATTAAGCTATCAATTTAATGTACGTAATAATATAACTTACAATTATATAATTATAATATAATATATAATCTTTATATTATACCTGACGGGGTGAAGAGCATGGGGTAGACATAAGACCCGCCTTCAAAGCCAGCGACAAACTATCTTTCCTGAAATTATATACTTTAATAGCGTGTGCTTTTTTAAGAATGTGAGGAATGTAGTTATTTTTACACAAAAAGTCGTTGTAACAAGGGGCACGCAAATGCTTATCCTAATTAAAATAAAATTTTATAGATGCGATCAACTTAAAATTTAAGTAATTTTCAGGCCCGGAAATTCTCCTTATAGACTCTGATCCTTTGAGTAATCGTAAGTCATACATTAAGTAGGATTTCATAATTTTAATATAAAAAAAAAACTTTGTTATCAAATTGCTAAAAATCGCATTAAATTTGGGATTGTGAAATGAGTATGTTTATACTCGTGTTTAGAGATGGGCAAAGTGTTTCCGCCCGGGCAGAAAGGGAAACAACCCAGGCATTTAGGATTAAATATTATTTGACAAATAAATGCCCGATCAGAGGCCATAAAAGTACTAGAAACATGAAAGTTTCTTTTAGGTTAATAATAAAATACGATTAAACAACAGCCGTCAAAGAAATTTTACCCTTAGAGGGTTGAAATAGGTGTTGGAAGTTCGTCATTAATGAAGTTAGAAACGTGAAACTTTATTTTTAAGCTACTGATAAAAAAAATCATAAACATATTTTTCAGTGATTGTGAAAATTCTTCTCTTAATGGGTGGAATAGGGGTTGGAAGTTTATATGGATTTTATGTATCTACTGTTATTACTGGATTTTTTTTTAAATATTTATACTGTTATTTGTGTTTTATTTATACTGTTATTATTGGAATTGGAATACATACTTCATTCGGCGATACCGTCGAGGTGACCGGCTTGACCGTCGGTCATCACGCCTGGGAGACAACGTAATAGATGCACTGCTGTCACGATCTCTGTATTATTGATTTTCATTAAATACGTTCTCTTAATTCTTTTTAAGAGTACATTTTCACGAAATCCAACTACCTTTAAATAATTATTTTGCACAAGGAAATAAACATCTCAATCTTAACGCCCAGTCTGTGTGATTTTTCGTACATCTTTGTAACAAAACTTCGAATTAATTTAGCATTGTCTTAAAATTATTCTTTAGTGACATGCAATAAAAGAAATAAAAATATACCTACTTCTTTAAACTACTTATTATAAGTTTAAGAATTACTGACTTTTCTTCTGTCTTAATTATTTAAGTTGAAAACGCTGTTTATTCCTCGAACTTCAAGTACCTTCTACTTAAGTCTGCAGTCATGTTTCCTAGTAAAGATTTAGGTAGTGCACCACCGTTGAACCAATGAAAGATTCCTCCTTTGTTGGGAAACCCAGAACGCTACTAAGACAAGAAGTTTAAAATTGAAATTTGTAAACAACCTTTTCGCCCCGACGGTTTCAGCTGCAGCCAAGGTCTGTGCTGTAGGTACATCTTGCAGGCTTGCTTTAGCAGATGTAACACCAGCCAATTGACCGCCCTAAGACAGCACATATCGATGCAACGTATATATTAATACAGTCGATCGACAGCACAGTTACAAAAGGTTAAATTTCTCGACTAAATTCTACGCAATGAAGTTCAAAATTGATTGCAAGTACTATATATGTAGAAAGCCAAAATGACAACAGACAAAGAAACTTTCACATTTATAATATCATAATAGGATCACTGTTAAGTTTTGTACTCACTTGACGTTTAAAGCAATTGTAATTCCAAAAAAGCAGGTAGGATTTTGCAGCTAATTGTGACATGTAAACTTTTTTACCACTGTCAACTTCTTCATACTATATGTTCATGTATACTTAGGATTATTTAAAACCTTATTAAATATGCTACAATAATAATTTTTAATCTTACGAAAATCAACTTATCAACGTCTTAGCATATGATTAACTAACCACTAATTAACTTCTTAAGTAGCCAGTTCATATTTCTTACTTATAAACGCTACTTAAATTTGTTAACAAATCATTGGTAAATAACACTATTTTTTATACTGCAAACACGGATGAAAATCCCACCAAAAGCCAAAGGGATGCGTCATTAAATTTTAAACTAAAAAATAAACGTCAGTTTTGTCAAGATCATTGCAAGAACGGTAGGTACATCGGTAATCTTGTAGATAGTTATTATGGATTATGACTATTTTTTGTTTCTTTGTCCGTCAGGTAAATTTTTGAAGAATATTAAACCCGTATTATAGTGTAATCAATAAATAACGGCGATATGTTGAGTTGAAATGATACATGACGTCACGCCTTTGTACATTTTCTACACAGTTGTGACGTAGCATTATTTACGCCTATTATTTATGTAAATTCTTGATAAACTGAAGCAAAAATAAAATACTAACTAGATGAAATAGAATTTATTTTTATTTACTTCGTCATCATCATATTGCAGTCGTTTAATTTTTAATGAAAAAGGATGCGAGCTATGAGAAAAGCTACCAAAAGGGTTTTTAGAATACAATTGTTTATTCAGTTACATGCCAGAATCCTAATAGGTGGTGGACCCCTACGTTGTACGGCTGTCCCAGTTCAAAACCTAGTAACTGTTTTGGACTAAATTTTACAGGAAAGCAAAAAAACTCTTTTTAGGGTAGCTCTTTTAAACTATTTAACACCTGTTGAGAAATTATTCTTTACAAGAAGGAGTAGTTTGAATCTGTTAATTTGATATATAAATTATTTGTCTAAGTTTCATTCTACAAATTTTATGAGCTAAAATATTTTTAACAATTAAACGGCTAAGTAAAAATTGACTTCCAAAACCATTTCAAACCTAGTAAGTTCTCTTACTAGATTTTGATCTGGTTTAACATATTAGCTAAAAATCAGCTTATCCAGATCAAAATCTAGTAAATTCAAATTTATACAGCCATTTACACATGTATTTGTGTTTCATTAGGCAACATTCATTTGTTTTTTTTTCTTCCATTTGTCCTATTTACGTCACCCAGTATTAAAAATGGAAAAATTGAAATATCGTGTTATTTACGAGTACGAGTTCCAGCATGGTACCAGTGCTGCGGAAACGGCTCGAAGGGTTAATGATGTGTATGGCGGTTGTGTCGCAAAAGAAAACACAGTACGTTTTTGGTTCCAACGTTTTCGTTCTGGAAATTTCGAGCCTCATGGACGGCCGGAGACCCAAGCTTATAATGAAGAATTGAAGGGTATTGTGAAAGCGGATCCATCGAAAACCAAGTCCGAGTTAGCTGCAGGCTGCGGTGTTAGTCATAGAACTGTTTTAATCCACTTGAAGCAAATTGGAAAGATTAAAAAGCTTGAAAGGTGGGTACCTCACGAATTGAGAGAAGCAAACCGGTAAACGCGCTTCGACTGTGTTTTAACTGGCACAATAATGAAGGGTTTTTAAATCGAATCATTACCTGTGATGAAAAGTCGATTCTCTACGATAATCGGAAGCACTCATCGCAATGGTTGGACCTTGGCATGCCAGCCAAATCCTGCCCCAAACGAAAATTGACCCCAAAAAAGTTACTTGTAAGCATTCGATGCAGTAGTGCCGGTGTTCATTAGAGTTTTCTCAAATCTGGCCAGACGATTACGGCAGACGTCTATTGTCAGCAAGTGCAAACCATGCTGGAAAAATTAGCTGTTAAACAACCGAGGCTGGTCAATCGCTCTACGCCACTGCTACTTCACGATAACGCTAGACCACACGTTGAACAACAGACGGCTACCAAATTAGAAGAGCTTCAATTGGAATGTCTAAGACATCCACCATACGCCCCGGACCTTGCTCCAAAGATTACCATTTTTTTCGAAATTTGGATAACTTCTTGCAAGAAAAGAAAATCAAGTCCGATGGGGAAGTGCAAATCGCCTTCAAAGATTTTATTGATTCCCGTCCGAATGGTTTTTTAGTAAGGGGATCAATGACCTACTTATTTATTACGGGTTTATTAAATAAATCTGGACCTGAAAAGCATTAGGTCGGATGTCGGGAATCTTAGGCATAACTGTATAAAAACAGAAATAGCTAAATGCAATCAAAATATTTGAAAAAGTCGTCTGATCCGACTTTATGCATGACTGTTGCTCATGAGTAAAAAGGCACAAACATACAAGAGTTAATTTGCCGGAAAGAGAAAAAAGAGTGTAGCAACGTTATGGCGATAAGTGATTTTAGCTGGTTCTGCACATCCGACCTAATGCTTTTCAGGTCCAGAAATATAGTATATTAAAAAATATTCGATTTTTTGTTGATGCCATACCAAACACCAATTTCATATGTAAGGAACTAATATATTGTAATGGGGGTAAAACATTATATTTAAAGTTATTAAACGGCGACTTGTGATTTCATCTACGTGGACTCTTCGACACTGACTGAGCTTTCGACTACCGACTATAAGTTGTGAACATTAACACATAATGTTGATTAAGAGATTGCTCATAATAACTCGGTTCTATATTTCTCTCAGTGTAATTTATATATGCATATTTGTCCTGTTTTATTGAATAAATAAAATAAATTTAAGTCTTCTTTAGAATGAGTTTTTAATTTCCGCTAATATAGCTCCCAATAATTAATGTAATTTGAAATTATAGTGGTTTTAAGTTAAATACTCAAAGTGGGCATAAGTTAGACGACATAAGTTTGGGAACCCCTGATCTAGTCTATGGTTCCTTTACTAATTTAACTTTTTCTTGATGTTCTTTTTGTTTAGTCGAAATATCTTCTAGCACTTCAGTACCTTTATGTGTATTTCTCTTATATTTATCTTTTGGCATATTAAATGAAATATGAAGTCTTTTAATTGTTTGTCGATAAACTTCTACACTACAGCAAAAATCTTTACCTTTACTACTACTATAAACTTAGTTAGCAAAACTTAGTAACTCAATATTTTAATGTCTTACGAAAACCACAAAATATTGTTTCTATACATTTATTCACTTCATAACCCAGTAACTAGATTTGACAATTTCAAAAACCTAGTATGTGCTAACACATACTAGAGTTTTGAAATAGTTAAAGATACATACTAGGTTTTATAATGGTTAAAACTTAACTTATCATAAATTTAGAAGCACTTACTAGGTTTAGGGTACCCTATAACTTTTGATAGAAATGAATTTTGATATAGGGCATTTTGGCATCTTGTGGGGACTTATTGGAAAACCACTTTTAACAAAAAAACACAATTTCTACTTTTTGTAGACTTACTAGGTTTTGAAATGGGACAGCCGTGTAGATCTAGAATTATTCAACAATACCTAATGAATTTGCAGGTAATAGCAATTTCTTTGACAGTGACAGTGTATATCAGTTTACTAATTCTTATACCTACTGTGTTTTTATGAGTAGCTTTCAATAATATACTTCTGGTAACGCTTGGTTATTATTGGAGCCCTGTCTAATGTCTCCTACCTTCATTTTTGTCCCTAAGAGTGGAATCTTAATAATTATAGAATGAACTTAAAGTACAAAAGAAACTGAAGTGCTATCTATACTAATATTATAAAGAGAAAAAAGGTCTGTTTCTTTACATTGAATAGGCACCGATACTTGCTACTAGACCAATTTTAAAAATTATTTCTTCCCTGTACGAGTCTACACGTGTATGAACGTGTGATATAGGCTATAATTTGAGCAAGCTGAGCCGCGGGAAAACAGCTCGTTCATATATAAAACTTCTCATAGCTAATGGAAGCTAAACTAAGCATCATTCATTATACGCTTGTGTTGGATATTAGTATACATTCATTATTATCGGTTTCAAAAACATAAATTTTTAAATAATTCAATAAATGTTACAAATTGAAATATATCCAGACGCAAGACCATCGAAAAAAATAACAGTTACGATTGCTAGGTGATCAGCTGTCAAAGATCCGCCATTGTTTTAATTATAACAACTCTTTTAAGCGCTAGATGTTATATTGCAAAGGAATGGAAATAGACCCTTAATTTTTATATTTTTAGGAACCGTTAGATTGAAGGTGTGGGTCCCTACTGTGGTGATGGAGACAACTGGCCAGAGAGACTAAAGGATAATAGGTGTTGTTAGCCCGGGGACCGCGGTCCGTTACTGCGAAGAATTAGATGTCGCTATGTATCAGTCGCCACATATTTAACAAATTTTCGTAACCATACCCAAGTCATAGATTTTATATTCTTAAAAAAAGGTGTCAACCCTGTCATAATTACCTGATATATAAAATGTAAATTTATTCATAGGTGGATCCTATAGGAGTATGGATGCAATTTTTATGAAAACATCGATATTTTAGATTTCATTGCAGTCGATTTCCATGTATGGCTTCACAAATCTGATATATCGAAATTATTAAGGTCTTAAGTAAATTTAAAAACTCTTATTTACAAAGACCTAATGTACCTAGGTAAATAAAATTAGTCTCACTCAAATTCGTTGGTGTGCTATCTCGACAAACTGTCGTGCAACTTGATTCTATTAGTTTCTACTTCGTCTTATTTTATTTTGTCTAAGATACTTACGCTAGCAGAGTCATCGGTAGCTAACGAGTTGGTGTCATCCAGTCCATCACGTTTTTTCCGTGCCCGCTTATGTTTCGCCGATGCATCATAAACTTTGAGTAATTTTTTACTATCGCTCGACTGACACTCCATCGAAGGTATTCAAAGGGATCACGCGACATCAGATCACAAATTTACACTAAACGGAAAACTTTAACTATTTTCATCACTGTTTACAAATAATGTGATGTTAAATATTTTTATTATAATACGGAAATTAATTTTTATATTTATTCAACCAAATATACACGGACTAATGAAAGATGACAAAGACCGTAAACAATTGAAAATATAGAATTTCTTGGCAGTTGTCAATATTCTTAGCTGCCAGATAAAATAGATTATATCCGCCATATCTATATGAGTAGTGGCAGACTACGCGTCGGTGGTGTGCTGTGGGCGGTCCGCCCCGAGCCTCCGGTCTTGGGGGCCCAATAAATGTCTGCAGCCATCAGCCAAAATTATAGTAATATAATAAAGTTAAAAATGTAAACGGCGTAAAAAGTTGTCGATTCAGGCCTATTGCCGCCCGTGCTTCCGGTGATATTAGTCCGCCACTGTCCATGAGAACATTTATTTGATTATTTGCCCACATTTGCATAGTTCGTCCTCGGTCTACAATCTATGGTCCAAATAGCAACTTGGCTCACTCAGCTTTCATTTTAATTTATAAAAATATTGCATTGCATATTCAATCCTATTCTGACATACAAGTTTTATGAAAAACAAAAACTTTCTCAAAATTTAAAAAACAATTGCAGAAAATAAGTTCATAGAATAAATTATACTTAGGAGTGGTAATTAAATACCAAATTAAATATTTATTAACAGTACATAAAATGCAGAATTATCTATTAAAGTATCAATGAAATATCAACGATATTAGAATAGATCCTTAGATAAATATAATACACAGCAGCGAAAACTCGGTCATCCCTTTCTCAGAAACTTAGCTTTACCCTATTTTGAAAGGGATTAGATTAGTTAAGAAGTCATTTCAAAATCCAAAAGGGTGGTGCTGCCAGCCTGTCGGATATCTTTTAAGTTATAATGAGTCCCAGAGACGATCCCCATTGTTGGTGCCACAAAATGCTTACAATGCAATCGCCTACCACTCTGTGCCATAGAAAGTCGACACAAATGTTTCCTAAATGTATAATGCACCTAAACAAGTATTAGGTAAAATATTAGGATTTCGTATTAAAGTGTGGTTAAGTCCGCTGTTTTAATTGAAAAACATTTCATAAATGATGTATTAAGAACATCGATTCATAACTTTCAATTAAGGATAACAAATTTATCAAGAACCCAAAATAATTATTGTTTTTAAGTCTGTCATTTATTTTTAAATGTGAATTTTATTAAGGTGTACAAAAACATAATATGCCAATTCACAAAATAAATAAATAAAATTCAGATTCAATTTCAATATATTATAGATTATTGTAATAATTCACATTAAACTTAATTAAAACTTATAGCCCACATAAGCTCCTCACACTCTCCACTACGGATTCTCTTATAGACAAAGGCGCTAAAGGTACTCGGTATAAAATCTCCATCATAAAACCAATAAACAGATTCAAGTCCCATTTTATTATAAAAATCAAAATTACGAGTTATAATACATCTTTTCTCCGATCGAACAATAGAAATCGATTATAGCACATCGACATTCTCGTAAATAAAACATGGACATAAATAACAAAATCGTACAGGCTAACACGTCAGACACCAGTATGAACGATCTCGGAGCGACGAGTCGACGGGCGGCAGCGCGCCGTAACACTATATGTACACGTACCGACAGGTATCAGTCTCATCGCGGCCTACGCGTCGCGCTCGTCCTCCGCCCGCCGCTGGCTACAGTGGTAGAGCACGTCGGCCAGCTCGTGCGCCACCTTCTGGTCCAGGATCTGGCTCATCACGAGAGCGAGCAAGCGTCGCTCGTGTCGTCTTATCAACGGTCGATTCTCCGGGTGTTCCGCCAACCGCAGCAGCGTGGCGGCCGCTCGTCGCAGCATGTCGAGAGAGGTACCCATAGAGTCCGGATTGTCACGCAGGGCCGCCACGCCATGCTGGTTCACCACACCGAGCGCCGTGTGCTCCGCGCGCTCTATAAACGCTACTAGTTGCGCGACCGCAGGCGCGTGCTGGGCCACGTCCCGCGCGGCTGCTCCGCCCGCTCCCGCGAGATAGTGCAATAGATTCACCGCAAACTCTCGCACCACGGGTCGCTCGGGCCGGCACAGGTCGCGCGCCAGTCCCGCGCATAGCGCCGCTATCCGCCCGCGGGGCGGCGTCGCCAGCACCAGGTCGACGTTCGCGTCCGTCACGCACAGCTTGCACAAAGCCTCGAGCGCGAGCCGCCGCGGCGACAGCGGGGAGGCTGCGCCGGCCGCCGGGGGCGCGTCCCCCGCCACCGCCGCCGGGCACACACTCCAGTGCAGCAGCCCATCGAGCAGCGGCCGCGCCACCGCCTCCGGCTGCCCGGCCAGCTCCACGCCGCCCGCGATATTCGCGCACGCGACGAGAGCGTCTTCGCGCAGCTGCGCGAGCGCGTCCCACCACCACTCGGCGCCGCCGCGTAAACTCGAGCAGCACGCATCTGCATCTGCGTCGTCGCGCGCTGCCGGCTCGTATGCTCGCGCGCGCGCCGCCCGAGGCGCGTGTTCGTGGTGCAGCAGCAGCAGCTTGCCGGCTACCGCCAGGAACGAACTCGACCGCGAGAACTCCACCTCATTGCCAGGCACGAATGTCAATCCGCGGAGAATATTCGAGAGCGCTATGCAGCGTTTCGCGAGCGCGTCGCGCGTGTCGTCGACAAGGTTGAGACTCGGCTCGTCCCGCGTATAGCACTCGTCCTCGTAATCTTCGAGGCGGCGCCGCTTCAGCACGCCGGCGGGGTCGCGCACGAGTAGATTCGGCCTCCGCTCCGGTTCGAGGTCCATAGGCTCAGCCTCGAGGTTGTCACAGTCAGCAGAGGCGGGCGCGGGTGCAGGGGGAGGCGCAGGAGGTTCAGGGGCGGGATCGGGCGGAGGTGCGGGCGCAGACGTGGTAGGCGGGGGCGAGGGTGCTCGGTGACCGGGCATGACGCGCACGAAAGGCAAGTGCACGGCTTCGGTACGGAGACAGGGCATGAGGTGAGCGGCGCCTCCATCACCGCCGAACTGCCATGGCTCTAATATGTCCTCAACGCGGTCAGGCTCCGCGTCGTCGTCGGGGGCGAACAAGTCGTCGTCAGGTCGATAAATGACGGGCTGCCGGCGACGAGTTTCGAGCGTGTAGTTGTCGCCGGACAATAGCCGCTCGCGGTCGGCAGGGTCGGGCGGAGGCACCCGGCGCCTCTCGTTGGTGGCGACCGGCTCGGGACTGGGCGGCGGCGCATACCAGGGCTCGTCTTCCTGCACGGGCGCGTCGAACACGTCACTGAGACTCTTGTGGAAGTGTTCTAGCAGAAGGTCCAGGAGGCCAGGCATATGTTGCAGCCCGAAATATCCTATACAGTTGTCGTCGAACAAGAGGATGTTGAGGATGTCGAGCGCCCAACACGTTTCGGCGAGCAGGCCCGACTTGAGCGCCATCATTATTCTCCACGCATCGACCGGCGCGACGTCAGCTTTCGTTAACCTCCGCCGCTTTTCTCCCGTAGGTACTGTCGCTTCGACGCATTCAGGGGGGAAAGTCAATTCTCTTTTGATCTGGCCAGCAGCTATTCCTGGTGCAGTCCCCTAAAACAAAAATAAAATCTATAGAGATCCGATCCGTACAAAGAAATTAATAAAAGCAATTTTAAAAGGTTACATGCATGATTTGTCCCTCATTAATCAATTTTGTACATCTCGCGACACATTCAACGCTCGACACTTCATGTTTGTGTCACACAAAATCGTTGTTATTTCATTTCCCAAATCAGGGATCGCCACGTACAGCTTCCTATTACTATAACGTACAAATGTATCTATATAATGTGACTCACGGGCGAGGGCACGGCGGGCGCGGGGTACGCGTCAGACGTGGGAGGACGCGGCGCCCCACCCCATGCCGCCCCGCCGGACGTCTACAACAACCAATTCACTTTATAAACACTAATCATTAACAGGTAAAATTTTACAATTTTGTGTTAAAACATGGTATAACTCTCAAATCGTCTTTAACAAGATTGATCTAGATTTTTAATTTGACGATTATATTATCATAATAAAGTATATAAAGTATTTATATATATATAATACCGCCACGCCCGTGAATCCTTAATGCAAGAATGTGTTTCCCATTTTGTTTTAATTAAATAATTCAAAATCGTTTATTCAGTCGAAAAACTATTTTTACTGAGAAAATCCTGCAAGAAACTCCGGACGATCTGTTTTTTCTCCCCATTTGTTGCATACAAAGTTATCAGACAGAACGAAGATATTATTTAAACATTGTGAGTTTGTTAAGATAACTTCAGTATCAAGAGTCGAGTACGGGACACAATTATGAGTATATAAAACATTAGTTCATCTCACTTGTTGCTGGTAGGGCTGATGCGGCCAGGCGGCAGGAGGTTGTGTGGGGGGCGGAGGCCGCCAAGGGGGCTGTGGCGATGGGGGTTGGGCGCGCGGGAATGCGCCCGGCCACGAGGGTGGAAACCTCGCCCCGGCCGCAGCCCCCGCGCCCGCCACCGCCGCACCCGCCCCCGCGTACCCCGCACCCTCCGCCTTCGCGAAGTCAGGGTGCCTCCGGGGCGCTCCCTGAGCTGCCGCCGCAGCCGCCGCTCCGCCCGCGCCCATCGGTTTACCCCCGCCGTACTGTGGATACGTACACAATACCCTTTAGCATCTCGCTGCCGTTATACACGATAACATATCCATCTTCCATCGTTCGAATGTTCAGTGACAGTTGCAATTGGAGTGAAGTCATGGATAAGATTCGAAATGTTATTTGAGATTATTTTTTTAAATAACGATTTATATCGACTATATTTTAAGCACTCTACGTATATTAAATATTTTTCTTTTCATATGTGTATGTGTATTGAACTATCTATTATTAACCAATGAGTGAAAACAACTGATAAAACCAACTATTTTATAGGTTGAGAAAAAAGTTTCTTTGCATTATATATGAAAATTCAAAACATTTTTAGGAAAGTTTATTTACATTTAAATAAAATATGTAGGTATAATTTTGTTCGATAACTTTTTGCCATCTTGTAGGAAGGAACATGATCCCGTTGTTATAGAAATTTTGGGGCTTGTAGAAAAAAATCGCGACAAGCAGTTTTGGCAGTCCTCGCGTGATTTTAACCTGACACTCCCCAAATAATTCTGAAGAGACCAAAACAGGTGGAAATCTGAAGGTGCAAGTTCAGGACTTTACGGCGCATGCAATAACACCTCCCAGCCAAACTGTCTTAATTTTTGTTGAGTGGCAAGACGTGTGAGGTCTAGCGTTATCATGATGAAAACCACACCCCTTCTATTGATTAGTTCTGGCTGCTTTCTATCAACTACTTGTTCTAATTTCATCAATTGTTCGCAGTAGAATTCAGAATCGACTACCCTGCCTGGCGGTAAGTTTATAATGAATAATGCCCTTCCAAACCCACCATACACACAGCATCACCTTGTTGCGAGTTAACCCTGGTTTTGCCACAGTCTATGAAGCCTAACTGACCTTTGGGCACTATCACGATTTCGACCACGACCTTTTTTCGCATATTCTTATCGTACTTTTTATGTGTAGCTAGCTTTTTTCAAATGCCAAAACTGTTTTGTTTTTTTTTATCCGTAACAAAGCGACGTGCATCTTTGACATCTAAATTTCCGGACTGAAAACGCTTAAACCAAATTTGTGCCATTCTCACAGAAACTGCACTATTTTAGGTTCATCGTGCATTTATACCTTTTTGTAATAAAATTTAAAAATGGTTCGAATTTCTTCATTAATATGGAAAAATATCGAATTAATAAATATTGGAACTTCTGAAATCACACTTTTCCTAATTTGAATTCCGAGTTATCTTTTTAAAATTACCGAAACCAGCCATTTCCTTGTACAAATGGTATAACCAAAAAGATTTTATTACAAGTTTATGCATACTATATGCGAAAAGACTTTTTCTCCAACCTAATATGTTATGGACCAAGTGATAAATTAAGCTTTAATATCCGGTCATTATGAAAAATGCCCAATATGAGAGAGCAATTTGATAATAATTATTCAAATAATCAAATTGACCGAGCATTACACATATTGCTCATTCATTACCTTTTTGGAAAAACAGAGTAATACAAACATATTGATTACACACCATCCTCACGACATGCAAAAGTGCGAAAAAGCATAGTTAAGGAGAAAGAAGAAAAAGAAATTTTTATTACTATATTATCCAGATTATAGGGTATTCTACTCTGTTTAAAATAATACTATTTTAATTAAAAGAGAAAGCCAAAATATAATGCATTGATTAGAAGATTAAAATATGTCAATAAAACAAGAACAATGCCATCTAACGAACGAATACGAAATAAAATGATATATATAAGCTAGGAACATCACCTAGGAATTTGATTTAAAATTAATAGGCATATCTTTATGACTAATCTGACAGCAGTCGCCACAGTGACTTCACACAATGACGGGTCGTGTTTCAAGTCACGTGACTCACAGACAAAAAATCATGAGTTAAATTTTAAGGTAATAAGATAGTCTTGCGATTTAAAGACTCAAAATCGTAATATCTATGTTTGTTACGATGTAAATTTTAGTTATTGAGCAATTTCACGATTTATTTTTCACTACTAAAATAACCCTATTATAGACATTATTTTACAAACTTCAGTTTCATTTTCTCATGAAAAAATATATGAAATACAAAAGTAAAAAAACTTTTACTGTTTTCTATTTAAAAATTTGTTTTTGTTCGTCATCGTCATCATCAGCCCTTTTCCGTCCCCACCGCAGGGGCTCAGGCCTTCCTAATGGATGGTTAAGGAGGATGACTGGAGGTCTACGCTGACAGAATGCGGAGGGTATTAACGAATGCAAATGCAGTCAGGACCAACGGCTTAACGTGCCTTCCGAAGCACGGAGAAGCCGAGAAAATAATTTTTTGGTCACCCAACCAGTGACCAACCCTTGCGAAGGTTGCTTAACAACATCGATCGCGGGCCACGACGCTTATCTACTACAACCACCGAGCTACTCTGTTTTTGTTATAACTCAAAAATTGTCTTATATTTTTATTTATTAAATACCAACAATCAGATTCATTATTTGGTATAATTAGCATCTTATAGTAAACCGTGATGCAGGGGGGAAGAATGCGTGCATTCTTCCCCCCTGCATCGAGTCAAATGACAGGGCCGGGTCCTGCCCAAAGAATCGATTAAAATATACAGTAATAATAAATTTTTGAAAATAACATTTAGTTTTATTATCTATCAATTTGCCCAATTTTCATATTGAAATTAATAACTTAGCCATCGGGCTAGACATTCATAATGCACGCATATTATCAATAATGCCGGCATTAATCACCTGGTCCATAACATACACATACATGAAATTTGAGTGCCCTTCGCTAACTGTACAATTCACTTTATATAACATTTATCATGAAAATTAGCACTATTACTCAGTCTATATATCTATGACGAGAGACCTTTTCCAGAGAAAGACTGTTATTGTTATTCAGTATAAACTATTTTTTTTCCTCAGATTTTATTTTATGAAATAATCTTATTCATTGGATCTAACTTGAAAAATTTAAGAATTTGCAACAATCAATAGCTTCCAATTATCTTCAATTTATGCAAACTATCGCTTTACATTCGTATTCATATTAATATACATCAATTAATTGCAACCATATTTAAAATACATGTGTTTAACATTTAGATGAACGATCGAAGATAAATTAAATACATTTGGATCGTTTTACGTAATAAACTTATGTAAGACAAATGTATTCAATTTTATAAGGAACGTAATCGTGACTAAAAAACAATGATGGCGTTAACAATATTGAAACACTGGCCATACACCCAAGATGACTATTTAAAATGATCATAACATACGACAGTAGTCAGTCGAATAATAATTATAGGAAAATAATATTAATATATTCATTCGATAGACTTATATCGTAGTCGAAGCTATGTTATCATTATAAATTTACAACTAAATCTAACATGAAATAAGTGAAAGCATGCACATGAATTAAGTGATCAAAATTTTCATATCGTAAGATAAAGCCACCACCACACACTCTATACCTTTACTTCCATGTGGACATTATTTTGTTAAAATTTTGAAACATCCAATCGACGAGTTTTTGAATATTTTTTTAGAGATCGTTATGGCGATGGAGCCTTACGATCGCGACATCATTCAGCCAATTAATCACACCGCAAGCCAATAATTTAGTAAAAACTTAAAACAGAAGAAAAATTAACAGTGACAGCTTAAATTTTGTCAAGCGAGTGGTATTATCCGAAATAATTAAATGAAGCCAAAACCACGGATGAAGTGACTCCGGACGTCGATCATCGTTTACGGGGTTGAAATTTCGTTTATAAATAAATATTAAAGTAATAAATTACATCGGAAACATTTACATGAATTAAACGAGTTTTTTAACCTGATCAAAATCAAAAATTAAGGAAAAGAAAGATAACTTTTTAATGAGTACTCCGTTATCACTCGATATTTATCCCTTATGCGACCTTAGAAAGGCATGCTTTGAAACGATTATTACCATCGATGATTTTAAATCAAGCTCGGTTCAATCTAATTAATTTCGAAACATCAATAATCTCCGGCTAAAATAACCATTGTATCTGTCGCTAAATATATTTTTTATTATAAAAATCGGAATGCAATAAAAACCAATGTGCATAGGTGGTGATAAGTATGGGACGATGATCGACGCGAGCGTCAAGAGCACGTGCGTTAAACGTGCGCGTGTGAGAGTATGAACCGTATCGCCAATTATATGGGAAGCGGTGTTGAGTGCGTGGTACAAACGGGGCCTCCGTACGTAGGGTCTGGGATTCGGCGGCAGCGGCGCGACCAGCTGGCGCGCGAGCTGCGAGCTCATTAGGTTACTGACAGACTGCTGCGTCGAGCCCGACATCTACACACGACCAAACATGTCAGCACCTGGAGTGGCACTCTTAAAACCAATTTTCGATATATCGTCAACTTCGTCGCGGTGTGTCCTACTCTATGGTATTATATATTTACGTTTGAGCGGGACAGACGACAAAATATTCCACGATGTGTCGAATGTCGATTTTAAGAGTACAGGACCTGCTATCCGCTACATAACAATGTGCTATTACACCCGCTAACACTTGTCACATGACAATACTGTACTACAAACTCCATATTTTACTCCATATATCACACTTTATTTTTTTTACCCTAAAGTAAGAGAACTGGTTTCATTATATTTTTCTTGATAATAAAATCACCTATAATGTTAATCATTATTAAGAACTGCTGTAAAAATACAGTTACTACTTTAAATAGCTATCAATTATCTTTAAATAACTTGAATTGTTTTCATATTGATCACTCTTGCTAGCAATTTCACTTAAATCTTTAACATATACTTCATGCGCACAAACAAAGCTATACTTTTATCAATGTAGCATTACATATTACATAATAGCCTAGCATTCAATACGTTTTTGTTAACAAAAGTCCAGTTAATTATATATTTCAAAAATATAATTCTTTTTTTGTAATATAATTTACAAAACACCAGATTATAAAATTATTAATAAATTTAACTTGTTTTGAATATTGTGGAATAAAGTACTGTTTGCAAATTGCTTTTAATATCGCTAGTATTCCAAACGTTTCATCGCTGAAACATTTTGAATATTGGACAAATTATATTTAAATTAATAGTTCAAACACAAAATATTTACTAGTATTTAATGTAAAATAAAAGATCAAAAGATACAACAAATAATATGTATCAAGTTATATCGTCTAGTCATTAAGCTATCAGTCAGGTACAGATATTTTTAAATTCAATAGAAATCTCTTATTATTTAATATTCAAATTTGAATTTTCTAGACAATATATCGTTAATTTAAAGTATGTATGCTATCATATTTTATTTTTATTTTGAAAAATTGTTTACTGCACTATATAACGAAAGCACATCAAGACAATTACAATAAGATTTTTATTGCCATCCATGCATATATGCTAACAAGCACAGATAAATATTTTGAATACTGTCATCCGTCTTCATAGAGGTATTCGTCTTCAAACTATTATTTTATGCAAACAGAAAAATTAATTCATTGAGCAAATACATGCACATTCATTCATAAAGATTTTTTATGCCTTAAGTAACAAGAGCATAATTTGAATATAAAACCATCTTCAGTTATCAATGTTCAAATATTGCTTTAAAGAATCTATAATAATATAATACAGTAAATTTAAAACACTGCTATTCATATATAGCTATTTCATAGCATGCACAAATATCGTTCACTAAAAAGTAAAGAGACCTATCTCAAAACGGTACAATATCGGACAATAACACAATGTATGAACGGACAGTGTGTAACGTACCTCATGAGGCGGCTGATGGGGCTGGTGCTGCTGATGAGGCTGATGTGGTTGATGGGGCTGGTGCGGCGGATGCGGTTGGTGCGGCTGGTGTGGCGGGTGCGGCGAGTGAGGCGGATGCGGCGGGTGCGGCGGCGCGCGGTAGTACTCCGGGTAGGGCTGCGCGGGCGGCGGCGTGCCCGCACCTACGCCGCCCGCGCCCACGCCCGTCGCCCCCACGCCGCCCACGCCGCCCGCGCGGTACCCGCCCCCGTACCCACCATACTGGTACCCTCTGAATATACGATACGACAGCACACTAGTAAGATAATCATTTACACCACACCAAACTTACATGCACAAATTTAAACAGGAACTTTATAATAGAAAAATTTTGAAAGATCAACATAACGATTTTTTTTTATTTACCTAAATATTCGAAAACAAATCTCATGGTGATAAGGACGGAGGCGCGATCTTGAAAGGATATTTACACACTTCAAAAAATCAATGATCACGTCTAGTATGAGTGAGATGGACACATGATACATTGTTATATTATTTTACACCATATCGTTGTTGTAAAAAGTCTCATTATAAATTTAAATCATGCAATCGATAATCGTCAGAGTTCGTAAGTCAGCTATAGGCAAACAAAACTTCTGCATGTATGCTCCAGCTTGACATTAGTAAGGCTACACGTTGCCTTGACGTTGACAGTACAATCAAATCTCCATATTTAAGCACACAATGCGTCAAACCACAATGCGGAAGCCTACTCTAATTCACTGAAAAACGAAATATCGTTCGAAATTTCGGACGTTTCCTACTACAATGACGTTCGTTCCGAATATTCAACGAACGAAAATGTTTGACATATTTATTTTCTAAACCTACTCTATTTCACGAAATAACGAAACGAACATTTGAGTTTGACATCTAATTGTTCGGAATTCTTACCTCAAATTGACGAAGTAAAAAATGTTACCTTTTCATTTTCGTTAGCAATTTTTTATTTTCGAAATGGTGTCTATATTACTATTAATCGAGTCAGCTCTCAGTAGAGAACGACTAGACCGTAGAAGAAATCGGCAGCGGCTTCGAAATTGTAAGAGTTTGTAAGTAATTACAGACTCAGTTGTGAATTATTTCAAGAACTATGCCAGGAGATTATACCTTTACTGCGTCCAAAGGCAAGATCTCATGCCATCGAGTCCACAATTAAAGTTGGTAGATATTTTATCGTAGTTCTTCATAAAAAAAAATTGCATGCTTACACTTACTTATAAAGTTTTTTACTGAATTGTCAAGATAAATTTCGAAACTCACAATAATTAAATAAAATATAAGTAAACACTGAACAGTTTGGTGAAACTTGTAAAACTTTTGGCGGGATGAGAATCGTTTGTATTATACGGATATTTAAGATTGCCATACGTTGATTATAGCCATCGTATAAATGAAAGGTTGTTTTTAAATATGTCGGTTAATACTGTGGATAAAAGAGTTCTTTATAGTGTCTTGATCAGTTGTATCGAAAAATAAAATTCATTAATATACTTAGTTTTTCGTTATATTATTATAATATTTTATGTTTAAACAATGTTTAGCCACTAAAATTTTAATTTAAAGAAATATATGTATTGTTTAATATTATATATTTCAAGTAAAAACCGGAATTAACATTATAAGAAATCCAATAACGCCATCACTCCAATCGATCACGAAAATTGTCTTTGGAATCTAATATACGTTGATGTATACGAAAATGATAAAGAGTAGCGTTACATGCGAAATTTCGTTTTAATTTCGTTCGTAAACGAAATTTCGTTTTCGAGAAAGCGAGTAGGCCTCCTGTTCGCAGGTCTGACTTGATAATTGAGAGATGAACTATGGAGGAATGATAGCAATGACACATCGCAGGAACGCTGTGGCGCCACACAGCCCGTATGGCACCATGTATCTCGAACTTATTACAATGCAAAGTCGTAACGCAAAGTCTAGGTATCGTGTGGACTAAAGATACACTGTAATATCTTTGTTTATTAAAATACTGACCTGTCACCGTCGGGTCCGTAGGGAGGATAAACTGGCCTGTTTTGTTGATAAGGAGATCCATATTCGTACCCATATCCTTGTTGGAAACCTGAAACCCAATTATTAACATTTAGTCATATGTTTTGAAAAAAGAATACAAAACATTATTTAGGTAACATGCGTGTCAACTCACTACAAAAACATGCCCGCGTTTTGCAAATAATTATAATAATGCAAATGAAAATGCTTGTAATGACTTGAGTCCAACGATGTATAGGTACTTATAAGCGACATTATTAAGTATAAGATGAAAAATAAATATAATTAAATGTTATTATTAATCAGACAATGACGTCTAAACTACATAATTTTAAAATTTCAATATATTCTGAACAAAAATTGCAATGGTTCAATATATACACATAAAATCATTATAATAATTTAAGAAGACATACAAATTCGACAGTATTGGGTCACTATGTAATTTGTATTGTTTTCGTCAACAAAAACCAAAGAACACACCATACATGCTGTTAATATGAAAAATTGTGTCAAAGCTCAATAAAGTATTACGATAATGTCCGCAAGTATGTTTGGAAAAAGGAATATTAATCACAAATACATTTTTACTTCAATATTATCTTTCAACTGCACCGCCGACTACAGAATTTAATATAAACTTGCCCCTACTGAGAAATGAGTTTCGGCTACGGACTGCTTATCTAGTTTTAATCAAATAAGCATAATATATGTTTACATAATTATGTAAATATTAAATAAATATATCAAATTTTATAAGACTGACAATTAATTTCAAAAGAGATACATTAATCTGATTGAAAAAAACTAGATGATAAGCCTGCAGACTGACGGACCCTAGCGTGAACGAGGTTAAGTACCTGGGGGTCTCCTGGGCCCCGGCGGCTCGTCGAAAGGGTTGGAGGCGGCGAGGTTGTCACCGCCCGGCCCACCGCCTACAACCACACGTCTTAGTGCCAAACGAATGTGACGACTACACTTGCATACAATATTATTACGATCCCATACAATTTCTTAGAGCTTTTTTCAATGTAAACTAATTTGTGGTAATACAATATTCACATGTTTAACGTGAAGTAATGGACGCTTATTAATTATAACATAAGCAGATATTTACAAGCCTATTTAGTTCTCACACAAATTGTATGCGTCGTTATAAAGAGTAGTCTTGCAAAGTGCAATGGTTAGGATTAGTGAAAAGCAGAATGAGCCGAACGAATGTTAGGTGATCTATCGTTCAGAGCGTTAGGGCATTAGTCAGATGACTGCACAAATAAGGAAAAGAAGCGCGCACTCGCGTACTGTCGCTTGCACACGATCCATCTAGCCAGTTCATAACTGAAACGAAAGTGCAGGCTTTAAACAATATCAGTACAGATGCAAATTTACAATAAGAATTGTATTTGAAAAACCTGCACTCCCAAATAGTTATAAACTAATGTCAATAATTTAAGTATTATTTCAAGAGACCAATAAAGATGATTGTAAGTAAAAAAAATAGTAATCCTGGAATTAAACTTCATAAAAATCGAGCTCATTTACAGCTTTTAAGTTTGCCATTTCATAAAATGTGCTGAAAATACGTCAGTAAAACGGTGTCTATAATTTAACTAGTCCACTATCATGTTCTTTATATACAACTTTAAGTACTTCCGTTTTGAATTTTTCAATATAATTTTACTTATGAAAAAGAAAATGGAATTAAGAATTAAATACATTGTTATTTTACTGCTATTTGCAAAACGTACAAAATGCCAAAAAAAAAACAGTCAATTATTATGGTGTACACACATAAATTAATATTGTAAAATTCTGACGGTTTACGTAAATTATTTATACCTATTACAATAATAGCCAAAGAAAGTAAAATAAACATAGTTTCACGTAATTAATAATTTATAACTGTAATATTATTAATCAAAAATAAACTTTGACTCCCTTTCGTCATTGATGTAGATGAGTGCCAGCATCAAATCAAACATCAATGCTGATTTAATGCATTCTAAATAATTTTGTGTTTGTTTTTGCTCTGGATGGGTATTGTTACTTCTATTATTAACTCACACAATATGCCCCCATTAATATTGGTAACGTGTAACATACTCTGGCGCTAGTGGTATGAAAAATTACCACTAGCGCCAGTATGTTAAGAATTATAGATTTATACCAACGAGATCTCTTTTTCCTACTTCCATGGGGAGCACACAAAACTTTAAAATATTTAGTATAAACCCTTCTAAATGAGACTTTTCTTTAAATTGAGATCGCAACAGAACTAAATCGCAAAATTAAACAAAAAAAATTGTTATAGCTAAGATTATTTGGCAAATTAAAAGAAACAGTGTAATAAGCTCCGCCCCCATTTTGCTTGAAAATAACCAGATTACATCCCAGTGGTTATAATCGCGAAATGATTCCGCTCGTAGCTAGCTTTTTTAGGAACAGTTTGCAAATCCTGCTCACGCTGATAAGATAAAGAGATTGAATAGACATTTTTTTAAATTCTGTAAATTGGAATAAGGCTTAAATTTTATAGACCAATACTGAGGAATCATAGTGGTATCATAATTGAATAAGGTGCATAGTAGTATGCTGATTACAATCTTTTTATATTAAGAGCATAATCAAAACGATTCGTGGTCCCTTTATAAATAACACTAATACAATAATGTAGTAAATTAAGTGAAGTGGCAGATATTATAAAACGTAATCACGTGAATCTTCTTATTTAGAAGAGTGTACATTTTCTATCTAACTTTCATTTTGCAATGTCAGTAGTGACACAATACATAGTATGTAATTAATGGGCCGAAGTTTTGTCTTATTTTAGTATGTTTATTTACGAGAGTTAAATTGAGACCCTTAAAGCGACAAAGTTATATATATAGCTGCCTAGGTATCATCAGAACAGCCGAGAGTAGATACGTAATAAGCGGTACATGGTAGCAGTATCAGTTCATACCTTGTTGTTGGTTTGGTTGCGGCGGATACCCGGCGTACTGGCCTCCGTACCCATCCATAGCTGTGCCACCGCCGCCACCACCGGCGCCAGTGAACGATTCTTGAGGATTCGATGACCCTGATGTAATTTGAAGTTAAATTACTTTCTTGAAAGAAAACCTTCTTGTAGTATTGAAAATATAGACTTTTATATGATACTAAAAATAGAATTGAATAGTTTGGCATGTAGTATTCAGGAACAACAATTATAAAATGAATATGGATGAAGACAAACAGCGTCTTATTATAATAGATAAGTATTAGACGCCATACACATTGCTCAGATCCCAAGTCGCAAAATTACTTGTATTATGGAAATCCCGACCCGAATGGAAATAGAACCCGGAACCTCCATGTGACGGCCTTTTACAGAGATATTAAGGTATCCCCTACTTTGAAATCGACGCGCGAGTCCCTCAGCTAAAGTCGGTCGGTCGGCGACTATGAAGTATAGAATATTGTCGATTCCCAGTCTTATAATAAATGCAATTTCTAAAAAAATATTTCATATCCACATTCTTTTTTTTTGAGCATGATTAAACTACCAAACGGATTTTCATCAAAGTTAAAATATTTAGACTTGACAAAAAACCTCAATCAGCTTAATTAAGTTTTGAAACAGTACACTAGTCTACTTAATAGTATAAAAACGAAAATGAAATTAGAGTTTAGCGATATCAGTAACAAAACCCACCTGCACTATTGTTGCTATTTGACTTTCCGCTCTTTTTCTTAGTGGAGGCTTCCACTTGATTGATGATCGGCTGTGGATCGATACCACCGCGATCAAAGTGGCACTCGTACGCTAACAAATTTTTCGTATAGTGCTTGCGTAGTGTGTAAGCGGCCGACGAAGACGCGCCGATGCCCAATAGACCGGCTATGTCTTTCCAAGTTTTGTTTTTCGTCACCTGTAAAACGTTTCGATTTCAATACTAACGAACCATTAATGCAATCTTATGATTATTAACTAAACTTTATTACAAGGAACCGGTTAAATATAAATGAAACTTTCAAATTTATGGCCAGGCAATTGTCTTCAAGAAACTTATAACTTATAAAATAAAAAAACAAATTGTCCTCGCCTTGTCTTTCTCTATTCGTCTTAACGCTATAAAATAGCAAACTACAAAACACATTTTGATGCAGGTTTCACCAGTAAACAGGAGGAGTTCACGAGTAAGGTTTTAGTTTATGTTGTCGACAAAAGAGATTAAATAAGTTTTTTTTTTTTTTAATTTTTACTGCATTTTTTTTTTATTCAAATTAATTTACTATATGTCAGCGAGCTAGTCGTTTTATTATTACTTATGTATTTTTCTAGCAATTTAATTTCTGGTGATTTTTGGCAACAATATAATTAATTAGTTTTACAAATTCAATCAAAATTATGATAACTAAGGGCCGGTTTTTTGATCCGTGGTTATAATAATAATAATAATAATAATAATCTTTATTGACTATAAAATCGATACAACGAATTTTTACACCAGTGATTTTTAAAATATTTATTCATTACATCTATTTAACATCTGTTGCTGAACTTGGTTGATACCTGTATTTCAGCATACAGCGCCACTGTCCTCAGAAAATATGTAATAAGATAAAAAAACAATAATAACAAGCCACACTAAATAGATCTGAACAATAAGAAACAATCAACTTGTACTAGTTATTAGTATGTAATATAATCAATAAAGTGTAGGTATATTTATATGTAAAGTAGACAGTCCTCTCTGTGTGTAAGATGATTGTGAGTGAGTGTGTGTGAGAGGGTGTGTAGTATAGGTAGTAATAGAATTCTTTGATTAATTCGCTATCTCCAATAGATTTTCTGTTTCGGTATACGATAACCGTTGGATCCAATTAAATATAATTTTTTTTACTGTACTTTTATGAAGGGGATATATATTAGTAAATTTATTTAGTTTGTTATATATTAAAGGGCCTATAAATGGAAAAAAACGGTGGGAGAAACTAGTTCGAAATTTAAATGTAGGTTTGCAAACTGAATACCATCTTCGTTTTGTAAGATAATCCTGATTGAATTCTATAATCGAATGTTGTTTCAATACAGTATTTAGTAAGAACATTTGACGAACAGTCAGAACCTCGCAATACTCATATAGAAGTTTGGTGGGATAAAGAAAAGATTTAAAGGTGCAAATTTTAAGAATAGCTCTTTGTGCTACTTCTAGAGATTTAAGAGTTGTTTTTGGAACACCACCCCAACATGTGATACAGTATCCCAAAATCGACTGACACAACGCAAAATATACTTGTCTTAAAACAGTCGGTGGTATGACATATCTCAAAGTTTTAAATACCACCATCAACTTACGCACTCTTTTTGTCAAACTGAATATATGCTCCTTAAAATTGAGATTTTCATCAATCACAATGCCCAAATATTTTAGAGATTTCGCACGTTCTACGGGTTCACATTGACATGTATTACTAATAGTTAAATTAAAACATTGATGAGAATACAATCCAAGATCTGGTGGTTTGTCGCGGATGGAAAAAGTTAGATATTTGGTCTTGCGAGTATTTAAAGTTAGTTTACTATCTTGTAGCCACTTATTCACGCGGTCAAAACCCATTTGAGCCTGTTTGAAGGTTTGTTCCCATGTTTTTGCAGTAAAAGTAAGAACAGTATCATCTGCATAGCAAATTATTTTTCCCTGGAAAGCGTTAAGACATAGAAGATCGTTTCAATCGACTATTAGTTAAAATCTTCGACAAATGGTTAAATATCAGAAAAATATGTTTGTTGATCAACAGTTAGCCTAACCAATTGTCAAAATCCCAACTGTTGGTAAAAAAATTTAACCATGCCTGGAAGCTAGGTTAAGCAAAAGATCAATGGTTAAAAGAACAGATGTACAAATTGGTTTCCTTTATACATTTGTCTATCTATACTAATATTATAAAGACGAAATATTTGATTGTTTATTTGCAACGAATAGCTCCGAAAGTACTGAACCAATTATAAAAATTCTTTCTACTACGGGAAGCTACATCATGTGAACAAAGGCTATATTTTTATCCCGAAAAACAGCAAATAAAGGGATGAATGAAAGCGTAACCATATTAACGATTGTTTACTGCTAAATTTATCATTGTAATTATATCCGTGTCATCGTGTCATGAACAGTTCCTAGGGGACTATCTGCTGGTGGAAATCTATTACTATATAGAATCATTTGTTTCCAATAGCATATATTTATGTCAAATTATTAAAAATCTTATTAATTCCACGAATAGACAATACAAAAGGTATATTTGCCTACATTATATAAAATACTTATTCCTTTATTTATTTTTTAATATATTATTCCCAACTTGGGCACTTATTACTATATTTTACATTATTTATTTTTTTATTTATTTAAACTTTAACAAAAAGATCAGCTGTATTAGACAAAAAATTACATCTTACTACAGAATAATGTCCTATACAAAAACAAATACATATTTAAATAAATACATACACAGATACATACATAATTATATAAATATACATATCTAACCAAATTATGGGTTAACCAGATAAGGATGATGAATTTAATAGATATTCACAAACTTATAGTTTGAAGGAGATTTTATTTGGTGCTTTCTGTATATGTGCTTTATGTATGCACATGGAACATTAATTATAGAGTAAAGAGTGAAAATAGAAAGGATTCTTAAGTCCCAACGTTGGCGAATTGTCAGCAATTTAAGTTCATTGTGATAAGATAATATATGATCATATTTTCGAAGACCGTAGATAAAGCGTATACAGTTATTAAGTAAACGATCCAATTTTTTAACAAGTTCTTGGGAGATATCAGCATAACACACATCAGCATCGTCTGAACGAATACAATTTTACTCGAAATCTGAAGAAATGTTAAAACTGATCGAGGGACCTTAGGATATTTATGATCTTCCGGCTAATACAATCTACCTGGAATCTGTCAGCTCAACATGTTATCAATAGAAATTCCAAGGTTTAAGACACGAGGCGTATATTCTATTACAAGACTACTGTATGTCAGTGGCGTTTAAGAACTCATATCCAATTTAGATAATGCATAACGGCTACTAACTATAATAACTTGACACTTACTGGGATTGACGCAGATGTCAAACTTGGTCGACCAGTCGGACATCCGTTGTAAATTATTATTGATCGAGCGTATAGCATCATTTAAATTATCGCTATGAGCTTGTGCATTAACTTGAAAATCGTCTGCATAAAGATAATAAGAGTTTTGAAGGATGGGAGAGATCAAATTAATGAAAACAGAAAAAAGTGAAGGAAATAGAATTCCGCCCTGGAATTTTGGGATTCCGAACACCTGCCGCTAAAGTGCACCAATCAGACAAGTTGTCCTTGTGGCATGTCTGCAGCCCCGAAGATAGAAAGAGAACCAGCCCAGTTCGATAGACGAAACACGCAGGCGTGAGTGGATTACAAGGAGTAGATCATGATCGACAACATTAAAGTCGTTCGAAAAGTCAATTAATACTAATACCGTCAGTCGTTTATCTTCCATACATTGGCGTGTGTCCTCTGTATTTTTTAATAACGTAGTCATAGTGCTGTGTCCTGGCCGAAATCCAGACTGACACTCCGAAAGGAAATTATTTTTAAAAAGGAAATCTGCGACTTGACGATGTACAACTGCTTCGAGAATTTTTGAAAGAAATGAAATATTCTATTTTTTATAAGATAGATTTAGATAAGATAAAACAAAAATAAATGTTTGTAACAAAATACTAATTTCAAGAATGGTATGAAGTTCGCTCCATTCATTCAAACCGTTAGTGTTGTCATCTACAAAAATTTACCCATGTCAATGTATAGCGAAAGAACTACTTATTGTGCTGGCAACAAACTACCAGTAGTTAACTATGGCTATGGTTTAATTTAATATAAAAAAACAGAATAACGGGTTAACAACTAGTTTACGTTTTAACTGTAGTCAAGTTAACAAAAGGTGGAATGACATTTGACTACGGATCAAAAAACCGGCCCTAATAGAAACATGGTAACTAAAAGATTACTTCATTTAACATTCATAAATTTTACATAACATTATAACAATTATACATAACAATATATTAATATGCTTAAACATAACAAACTTATGAAAAAGACATTATTTATTTGACACATTTATCGTACCTTCCCGTAAGCCATAGAGAGAACAACAGCAACGCGTAAACATAAAGCGTAGAGGTTTACAATGTTTTAGTGCATAAAAGACGATAACTTTGAATGTTAACGAGTGGAAACCTCACCATTACGCTGATTTTTTCAATGTATATTTATTTTCCGTAGACACAACTGTCGAACACGAGCGTCACCGACGAAGGATCGAACTACACTACTGGCTTAATACACTTATTCGAACAGGGCGACGTGTGCGAACGCCTCAATGATAAAAATTTATTAACCATCGTTAAAAGCCTGGCCGTTTTATGGCACCTATTTGCATAAACCACGAAGCGCATGTACTAACATAAATTCTAACCGAAGTCTATTAGTCTCAGTTTCATAGAACTGAGAGTTGGGACTTTTACGGGCACTCAAATATTATTCAAATGCTCGCGTTCAGAACTTTAAAAGGAAGTTAAATTTCACGTAAGCTTTTCAAAGATATAATATAACGTAAAATTAAATATATTTTGAATATCATCGAGTAAGGCAAAATTATATCTACATGGTTACTAACATAGTAAGTGTAGTAAGTGTTTAATATTGTTTCAGCTCATTTTTACATAAATTAAACATTCTGATGACAAAAATGAGCCACTCACTCGATTTCTTGTTCGATTCAGTGTTCGAGTCTACAAATTCTATTCTATTATTCCAGCAAATACGATTACCTTTTTTACCTGTGTACCAGCAGTTGCGATTTAGATCAAGACATGGCAAGTCGGCGCAATAATGTTGCTTAATTCTACAAAGCTACCACATTGTCGGGGCGAAAACTAGCCTGGATCATTGCTGCATCGCTCAGCTCTACAGTTACAGGCCTATCGCTTTAGTATTTGTAATCTACAGCAATCATGCTGATAAAACTAATGTCAGCTGCTGCTGTATTTATACTCACCACTGGGAAATCTCATAGCTCTCAAACCAGTAAATAAAGATGATACGAGTCAATAAAAATACATGAAAACGTTGGTAGGGCTGCTACAAAACGGTTTCCAATCAATGTCTAGTCTATCAAAGCTAATGTAATGCTCACCTTTACGAAGCCGCTCATATATCAATAGATTCAAGACATTGTAGGTCGAGCATATACGACGATATGGTTATAGGACAGATAAGTATTGATGTCAGAACGGTAGATACATTCACCTGTAGGAAACCGCTTCCCTCCTACACCAGAGACTTCCCAAACAAGTGATAGCAAATGGTATCTATTAATATTAACAAATGTTTCGCATAACATGGGTATGGTGACGTTTGATAACAAATCTTTTTCACGTAATTTGTATTTTCAAATAATTACAAACCAAAAATAGTTGGACTGCAGACTGCATTTATTTAAATTTGCATATTAAAACACAAATAATTTTTAATAGCCATAATCAGTGAAATCCAACCCTCTAAACTTTAAAACATCAATACTTGTAACAATAATTGGAATGTTTTTTTAATAGAGATTGAAATAAATATGTACTCGATAATCTTTTGTCAATTTTTAAAATTTAACAATAATAAAATTTTGGATTATATTCCGATAGGGGTTCATCTCGTTGATGAATAAATATTATTCATAAATCCTGTTTAGACGTGCTCAAAATCGATTATCTCTATGAGAAATTAACTCTATAATATCGAGTTTTTGTATTTATAAGGTAATATTAATATATGCCAGGAGTTCGTGGAGTGGTTAAGTTAATTATATTGAACAACTTTATATGTTTTTATTACATTACTAAAATCCCAAACCAAAACTTCAAACCCCAAACGCATCGTACCCATGTTAAGTGAAAAAGACTATAATAGTATATCCAGTGTGATAGAGTATGTCTTACCTCGACGAAGCCGCCGCGCTCTCGCACCAGTAGGTAGAGTCGGTAGAGATCTAGCGGTTGCTTGGATATGGTCGGGCAGGCGGCGATGGGCGTCCGCCGGTCCTCCATGAAGGCGAGCAGTCTCTCCACCCAGCCGCGCCGCTCGGGCGCATCGTCCATCTCGTACAGCTTGCCAAGCGAGTCCGACTTCTGGCGCAGACACAACTCATCATACACTGCCGCTATTCAACTTGACAATATACAATTTGCAAAAGAGGCAGTTACCATTAGCTAGCGAGATATTTATGTGTAATTTATAGCAAAATTAGCTTTCTCGTCTATGTCAATACCGTGTGAAGCTAAAGGTTTCGTCACACATCCGGGTGACTGGCGCGACATTTTCAGTTGTACTATTAATTATAGAGGACGTCACACGACCGTTTCACATTGCTAACAGCCTATCCCGAATGGTGCATGACAAAACCACAGTGATAATTATGTAATAGATATAACATATATGAAATACAAAATTATAATAGGAATATTTTATTACATAATATTAACACGTAATAATAATGTCTTCAACTGGTGCAGTGAAAATTTATATTCTTAGAAATATTTTTTGATTAATTCATCTTTATAAAATTATTATTGTATCGTAAAAGAGGTATAGTGTATTTAGTACAATTAACATTCACAAACAAAACACATGCAAAGAAGTACATTGCTATTATAATAAATTTACTCATCTAATACCTCTAAGATTAACAAGATTAAAAAAAATTTAGTTATATTAAAATCTTGAAAAGAACAGAATTGTTTTATAATTTTGTAACAATAAATTAGCGTGTAGTAAAAAGTGCTCTATTACAAACATTTTAACTATCAGAAACTCCGAAATAAAACAAAATAAAATGACCTACTACAATGTGAAAAAAGATGGACTTAAAGTAATAAAGAGAATTCCGTAATGTACATTTTAGTCTTAAAGCAATATGATAGGCCAACACCATAAAATGTAGCATATAAAAGCGAATAACTGTTTTCTGCAGCATAAGCTATATTAGAAGTCATTTTATTTTGATAATGTGAAGATAATTAATTGAAACGATGGTTCATATATAGAATGCTAAACGAATTGACACAATTATATGCAGAAAGAAGTCGACAACCATGCAGTAATTTGAATGTTATAATTGTGTACAGCCGAATCGAGCACTACTCATGCTTATGATCTTTAACTTGATATAAACCTTTGATCTGTAGGACTCCGGCGGTATGTGACTGTTAAATACCTGAAAGACACGATAAAATGCAATGCTTCCCTCTCACTTTTGAACATTGATAAACAGAGACAATGACAATACAACAAATAATTAATCTTGACAAATATTACAAAATGAATATGTAAATATAATACCTACTCCACGATACAACTCTGTGGTTTACAATCGACAATTTATATTTATAGTATTCTATATGAAATAAAGCATTTGAGCTTTATAAAGGAAAAACACATTTGTGGTGTAAAACAACAGATTCGGATCGTAGAAGGCAACAAAGACTACGTGAGTTGGACATTCACTCGTGAAACAGTACAAAAAAAAAATTAACAGTGTATGTATTTTGTAATTAGTCTGTGTTGATTGATAATAATTTATTATTGTACTGAGTTGGGACTTGTCAAAGAATGGGGTGTCAATTTTTGTCCTTTTGTTCGACTTTGGGGATCGATTATGAAATATAAAGAAAACGATCTTGCTCAAAAACCTATATTGTAGCAATCAATTTCTTTGACCCCATTCCTATATTTCAATATGTCAAAAGGTACTTCTATTAAAAATCCGAACACAGTGCGTATGGTATCGACAATGAGTTGAAAGTATATAATTCACCCTTAACTGGCATTCGTTGACGTTATGTTCAATTGATTGCGCATTTATCGCCTTTTGTAGTAACCTGATGTACGGAGGTGTACAGAACTCTAATTAAAGCAAAGGTTATTTTTTTGAATTGTATCAGTAAATGTGTGTGAAATAAGAGTCAGAGCAAATAGACCAACTTCACAACTTTAGAATTTATCACACAATGATACAGTTTCAAACGGACTGCTGGGGAAAAAACAAGGATGGTACAGTAAGTTCCAACTAATATGCCGCATGGTGAATCCAGTTTTCGCAGTGTTGACCAGTTCCAACAATGACCGAACGTACGATTTAAATCTAGTGACTCTTGTTTTAATAAACGTAAAGTGTAAAATGCAACACATTAGGTGTCCGTCTCACTCACCCTCGGAGGCTCGTGGATATTTGTGAAACGCCCGATGATGTTATACTTGAATCTTTCTGATTAGCCGATATATCACGTTTCGAAATTTAGATTTCTGCGAAGGTACATCAATGAGCCACATCAGTTGTAACTTGCTGTACGTTGTAAGGTGTCGAGGACTATTGCATGAATGGTAATACAGTTACCAACAGCAATATTTTTGGGCCATATAATAATGTATGTAAATTAAACTCATACGTACATGAACTATTTTTCTATCATCATCATTTCTGTATCCTCATCTAGGTATGACAATATGACAATACTAACGGTTTTCTTAATCGTTTTATACAATATAATACTGCAAAATTACCCAACGGGATAAGCAACAGCGAATCGTAGTCGGATAAAACTAGTACATACCTATGTATATAAAACTCTAAATATATACCTGTGTTCGATTTTCTGACTTACTTGAACCTAATTTACTGTAGAAAAACTGACAACTCTCAATATGTGACATGTACAGTATATAAAGATGTATATTGTACTGCTTGAATGTTATACTCACGGGACTAGAGGGCGGCCGCGGCCACGACGGCGATGCGTCGTAATCGTCGTGCACGGACGAGTGTGAGCCGCCACCGGGGGAAGGCGAAGGCGCCGCGCTACTCGCACCGTACTCTTTACGAGAACCCTTCGGTGTTCCACACGACTCCTCGCCTGAGGCTGGAATATCATTCACGCAATGTATCTGACTACCGGCTTTAGGCAATAGGCTAGTTGATAATTATTTTTTATTTTATAAATAAACAGTCCATTAATATCTGAAAAGTAATGTAGAAGTAATAGCATCTCTGCGATTAATAGTTTCGGAGATGTGATGCTGCGTTTGTGGAATTGCTGCGAGTCTGTCGAAAACGCTCCCTACAAATTTAAGCCACTAAGTAACGTCATATAGTGTTATCTTTGTAATATATTGTTATTTGTGCGTTTATGTTTATAACTGTTATAATGAAAGTTGTTATGTTTTATGTAACTAATTTAATGCCATATATTATATTTTAGCCAATTTTATAACAAATTATCCCTATTTTTTACCCGACTGCGCAACGCAAAGGAGGGTAATGTGCTTATCAATCTATGTATTTTCACGTTTCTTAAGCGTAATATTTTCTAAATGAGTGCCATAAAAAATATTTTGTTAAGTATTTATAAATTAAAATTGTTCATATTTTCGGAACACTAACAGAAACTAGTTTCATTTGTAGGACACAACCCTATAGCTTGGCTGGACTATTTGGTAGAAAACTTTTCCCTGCACGAGTCTAGATTGTTAAATTTTGTTTTGTATGAGAATTATTTGTTAGATCTTATTTTTCTATATCCATACAGAAAATTATAAACGAATCACAGTCAATTCAAGAAATAAAATGTAGCTTTCTTATTTTTAACAATAATAACGTATTTTGATAATAGTTTTTCACGGTCAATAGGGATGACGACTGGGTAAAAAAATTGCAATTTTATTTTATAAAAATATTAGATACGTATTTTTTTACTTCAATTTAACAAGAAATAGCTTAGATAACAGGCATTAAAGTTGAGGAGTGGGGGCTCGCTACGTCACAGTTGAGTAGAAAACGTTCCCTAACGTGACGTCATGCGAAATTTCAACTCAATGTAACGTCGTAATTTTATGATTACGAAAAAATAAAAAAATACGTGTTTAATATTTTTTAACACTCTACTTGACGGATAAACAAACAAAAATTAGTCGTCATCCCTATTAGACATGAGCGGTTAGCATCATCATCAGTTATTATGTGAGACGCACCAGCAGACGCGTTGCTGAGTGTGCTCTGCTGGCTGCCCTCGTCGAGCGGCGCACCGTCTGGTCCGGTGGTGACGAGAGCGGTGGCTGGTGCGGCGGGACCATTGTCATGAGCTTCACCCGGAGCCGTCGGCGGTGGCATCGTTCCCTCTGGACCGCCCGGTGTCGGCGGAGCCATATGCCGAGGCTGAAACAAAATCATCAATTGAAATGGGATTTTTTTTTTGAGATGATTTGAACCTGAGGCCTAAAAGTACTCTACCTGAGGCAAATATATGTCAAAGAAAATAGTTAAGTTTTTAATGTGTGTGAAAGCCAGTGGACTTGTAACTCTTATTTGAGATAATGCTAATATTTATTCAAAGAGAATTTCAAATAATTAAAGATACACACTCACAAGTGTTGCCTTTTTGATGTGTATCGCATTCGCTAAATTTACTTTGCGAAGACTGCTATAGAGCCTATGAAAGTATTCTTATCACTTGCTGTTGTTACTTTAAAATGATATTGAAGTTTTGAAAAGTCTAAAAAACTCCAAAGCCTGTAAACTTCAGCTGTCCATGTAAATTATATCGTTTCAGAAGCAATAAAATGGAATTGGATGAAGATTTCAGAATGTGAGTTTTTGGTCTATAACGGAAAATGGAATAAAATTATTGCAATCGATCATTTTTTAACTTTTTAAGTCAACGGAATTCTTAAAAACGAGGTAACTAATTATTAACGATGTTGCCCAACATTTCAATTTTAATTTACCAACATAAACAAGTTATAGTAGGAGGTAGTAGGAATAGTAGCTCGGTGGTGCAGTGGATAAGCGCCGCGGCCCGTGATCGTTGTTTTTAAGCTACTTTTGAATGGGTCGGTAACGAGATGTATGACCAAAAAATTATTATCTCAAGCTACTTTGTGCTTTGGAAGGCACGTTAAGCCGTTGGTCCCGGCTGCTTTTGAAGTCGTTATAACCATCCAATCCGCGTTGGGACAGCGTAGAAGATCATGGCCCATCCTCCTTAACCATCCATTAGGAGGAAGACCTGAGCCCCTGAGTCACATTAAATTATATTACGGATCTTTCCTCGGTTTTAATTTTACTTCATGTCAGTCAACACAATATGCGTTCCTATTCCATTCTTCCAATCGGATTGGCAGCTTCTCAATAATTTTAGCATTCGACGCTTTTTTTAATAAAAACCCTCATTATGAAGGCGAAGAATCCAGGATCCTGCAAGGAGAGCTTCGTAGCAACATTTACCCTTTTCTTAGTCATATCATCATTTCATTCCTCTCTTCAAGTATCCATTTACATTCTCTCCCATATAATATTTTTGTAATGGTCATATTGTCGTCGTTTCTTCTTATCACATACCATTTAACATACGCTATACTAACCTTTAGAGTAGGGTAATGTTGCGGTGGATGCGGCGGCGGCCTAGGTTGATAGCCATAGGAGTAAGGATGATGATTTCTTGGCGGGTAGCCGTATGGTTGCGGCGGGTAATGTGACGCCTTATAAGCAGGATGATGCGCGTACGGTTGTTGCGCTACCATCGCGCCGGGAGGCGGTACAGGGCTCGGTGCCGGTCCAGCCGGCGTACCTGGACCTCCGGGCCGCACCGGCGGACCGCTGCCGTCCGGCAGCGACGACGATGTTCTCGGCGGCATCGCTACGTTCTGCGTGCCTGGAAACAAAAAGAAAGTTCGTCAATATACGGTCAAATAATTAGATGTAGGTAAATAAATATACAGTTTTATAAGGCCAAACCTGCTGTTTTATGTTATCGTCATAATAATTTAATGGGTGAATACTTCAAACACCAATGCCAGATCAACAAACAAGAATCTGCCAAGCAAATTGATTCTATAAACGTTCAGCCATTCAACTCCATGTAGACTAGAATAGTAACGGATAGAGAATAATAATGTTAACAATCGCAATACACGTTGATGTTTGATTAGTTACCAACCGCCCAGTAGGCACTGACAACGTGAACATATCGCACTCCCGGTGCGACACTGTCACTTATGCAAAAAATTAGTTTTTCAGGAGAAGAGTTTTAAACTCTGCCTCCTCACAAGACAATGACTTTAGAAGTTACAGATGAGATGAATCATACGGAACATGGTTCCGTATGATTGCGGCGGGTATCAATCATACGGAACCATGTTCCGTATGATTCATGGTGACATTATCGCACCAAGTAAAGGGGACTTTAGGACAATTATTACATATTTAACTAATTTTTGTATTTTTTGCAAAAGTGACAGTGTCGCACCGGGGGTGCGATATAGTTAAGGGATGGCATACGATATCGACATAAAATGTAAGGCAAACTGCTCAGCTATTATTCTCAAAATGTTTTCGCTATATCCATAGAGAATAAATATGAACTTATCACAATATCATTAAACCGTCCTTTAAACGAAAGTGACATTAACCCTGCAAAACAACATCTAACGGCTGTTAGGTGTACGAGGCGAAGTGGAGGATTACGGTGAATGAAAGGTCCGATTAACAACCCTAGGCGCACATCAATCGTGGGCGGAGAGATGCACCCGATCACTCTCATTTTCTACCGGCACGTGAGCCGCATGCACCGCTAGCCTGCGAATTCTCGCTGCACTTTATTGCATCCGTATATGTGCATACGACATGCACGCAACGCATTGACCGAGGCCGAGATACGGGCCGCTGTGATTTGCGACGACGAAAGTGGTATTGCAGCTTTTATGTAGGTCGATTTGGACTCGGTTATGTTGGTGTTACGTGATGAAACTATGGCCCATTACACGGTCGACGGGTGTCCGTAATCTACTTCGAAGATTGACTTTTACGCTAGCTAAGCTTACGTGGAAAAGATACACGAGAAATGGAATTCCAAAAACGACGATATGACGGCATCGCTCGTAAACAATGCGAAGTGAATCTGAGGGTCGCCAGTTTAATCTCATCAGTGGGCCATTATCGGGGCATTATATTGTTGTGGAACGATCAGACGACTGGCAGACGGCCGGCGGGGCGCCGGTGAATCATAGATAACAAGCTAGTGGCTTACATGCTCACCTATGCATATATATTTGTTTACGGCGACCTTTAATGAGTGTAGCGCCACGGTAATGGGGTCGTCCCGGCCCGGACCAGGGACGCATGCACACTTCTCGTATAAATAGTACGCGCCCAACATTAAAATATTAACATCGACTTTGTTACACAATGTTATATTTAATTTCTCAATCCCTATTGACTTTTCAGAAACATACCTATAGGTTTTTTGGTATCTTTTTCTATCTTCTATCTATCTAAACCTAAACAAGTTTCGAATTTACATTGAAATTGTAACGTTAAAATACCTACACAAAAAAGTTGATAAAAATATGAAGTCCCAAAGACATCAATCTGTCGATTTCAGCCGCACGTGTACTGCGCCTCGGCCTAAGATAGTAAAATCAGTGATTTGCGTTCCTCAATTCTCGGCATGCCTGGTAGGTCTGTCAAACCTACAATGGCATGTAATTGATAATTGTTCACATAAATTAGAAATTTGCGTGCTAAAAGCCCTCAGTAGTTGGCTGTTACGATCTCGTCTCTCAAACCCCACCAGGCATTCGGCGTGACTTTATTACGTAAATTTTATTTTATACACTTTCTTTCAATTATTGATATTTCTGCGCTTAAGCTATTCATTGGTGTATATTTTTACAAAAGACTTGTTATGTTAGTCTTATTTTATTTACTTTGTTATAATTATTGCTATTCGTGTGCAAAAAGGAGATTCATTTATGTATTTCTTGGTTTCAGCACTCAAAATCAACTGCGAGATGAGAACATAGCTAATTTACTGTTATGGATAACTAGGAGGACGATATTATATTTAATTCTAGTGGAAAGGACTCTGAATATAACTTCCAAGACATCGAAAAATCTTTTTAGAGGCAGTCGAAGTCATTTTTATTTTAAATGATAGACATCGGATTCTGAAATGGGTGAACCTTTCCAAACTTTCAACATCACATCGAGGCGGAACTTATAACGGTAAAGATGGAACAATTAGGTCTAAAGTCTCGTACCAAGAGTGAAAATATATTGACTGGAACTCCTGGAGTGAAACCTCTAGAGAAACCTGTAGACTCCTCTAGAAAGAAAAGCAAAAAATTCCTTGCAAATGAATAGCTAACCGCATGGGTGAACAAGATGACCCACCATTGAAGAATTCCACACCTGAAATAAAACAGAGATGCCTCGTTTGTCCAGTTAAAAACGATCTCAAAACACAATACATTCATGCAAAAGTATCATTCATCTGGATCGTTCAACAATGCGCAAATTGCTACGAAATCGAATCCCAAAAACATGTAGATGTGAGTGACAAAAACTGATTATTTTATAGTAATGTATAATCTTTTGTGTCTTATGTGCTTGATAGTCTGATTTGAAGTCTCTTATAATTTTGTAGAAATAACATCAAAGATTCAATGAAAATTTTTTGTTAAAAAAACCGAGTAAAATTTAATCTTAATTTAAATAAAGATAATTCGAACAATATGTATTTTTATTATTATAATATTGTTCATCTCCTTAGAAGGCATAAGAGCGCCAAACAAATAAAAATTTACAGAGAAAATAAAAATAAAATATATTCCGATTGAAAATCAAAGGGTACCAGGCATATCTTGTAAAGTTTTACTACCAGGCACACCAAGCAAATTAAATTGATAATTTCTCAATGCCAAATTTTAGTATAGTCAATAGTCGTAGTTTATGTGATTTTCATTGACAAGAACCTATCTGGAAAAGTGCAATAAAAGCTAGTACATGCTACTAGTACTACGACAATTTGGCGTTCATTATTAGTGCACAGAACGAGCCTTTGGTCACGGCAACAGCCAGTCCAACAGTGCAGTCAAGGGCAGTGCCCGTCACCGCGCACCTCCAAGCCGAGGTCTTTACTTTCCTTTCAACGACCAGTAATCATTAAATATTCCAGTGATATACATAACAAGTAAAATATCGAAACTGACATGGAACCTGTACATTTAAATGAGGAAGTATTTTAAGAAAATAAATAAAGCACTAAAAAACATCGCATTAGATGGCGACTCTACCATAAATTGATTTTTGCAGGAAACGAATGGACCAAATTTAGTCATTTCCGTTCCTATTAACTACCTAACATATAAAAAAACTGCAAAGTTTGAAACTTAGACATCAATACAAATGCGAGAAAGTACAAATAGAATATGAGTTGTTTATTGAGTTTTAAAAATTAATTTACTTTTATACATTAAAGAAAACCGGAGAAAAAGAGTTGTTATGGACAAATCAAGATATTGCCTAGCGTAGCAACATATAATTTGATTTTCAGAACTAATGTTTTTTTAAATACTTCCTCATTGGGTTCAATCTTAAATTGTATGAAACATAATGAAGTTTTTATAACAAATATGAAGTCGACTGTACACTAAACACACAATTGAGATGTGACAAAGATAACACTCATAATAGAAAAGTATTGAAGAGTAATGTGGATGAAAATAAAGGTAGTAGAGGGAAACCTAAGAGAAAATTAATAGAACGCATGAATTATAAGATGAAGACTAAGGTATGAATAATGTTAAAATGATCACTGAAGACGAACATAGTGAGTCGAACCCCAATTATTGGTTATTGGTAACGCTAAAACAGTAATTAATGTATTGGTTGCGTTAGACAACTACTGATAACCTAAATATATAAATGTATTAAGTCTTCCAAAACATTCTGAACTTTACATACATTAAAAATATTGAATCGATCGTGATTCGGTATTTCCGCTGCCTTTCTCTCGCTCAGATGACTAAGTCGGTGGGTAATTTGTGAGGCGCTTCTCTGTATTTTACCAGTTAATAATCGAGTCTGTGGTCGAACATCGAGAATGCACCCGCAACGTGTGGATAGCCGCGTACCAGAGCACATTCCGCACATGCGACCGCACCACACGGTCACCGCATACACTAAATCTAGGCATATTAACAGACCTATGGATACGGGATACCTATTTCAAACGCAGAAACTACCACCAGTCATTTAGTACGGCACGTTAGTAAATATATACATATGTAAAATGTTCATATTAAAAACTATTATCTAATTGTTAAACAGTTCCCTCTAACCAAATTAATATTATGAGTACAATTACAAAGTAAAAAGTACAACGAACATTCGTTTGAATCAAAATAACAATATTTTTTCGAGATTCTGTAGCCAACAGCAAAAAAAATGGAATTTATTCGTCATGTATCAAGCCATTTTATTCCGATACTGGACTACACAGTTAAATTGGTAGGTTAGGTGTAAGTGTAATTACATTGTTCTGGAAACCGCTTCACAATTTTGATACAAATTCAAAAAATAAGAAGAGGACCTGAATTTCATCGAACCTATAGATGAAGGATGTCTAATAAATAGGTCTTTAAAATTGACATAGAGACATTACATTCTTAAAACTATATTTTTCAAAGTCAATCCTTTGAAAAAAAAACACTCAAAGTGGTAAAATGTGGGTAACATTTAAAATAAAACAATCAAAATTCTAAAAATATTTATACTCTAGATCACAATGAACACCTTCAACGAAAATTGACTTGATCGAATTAAAATCAGCAGTTTTTGAGATATAGCACATTTTCAAAAACCGCATATGTG